GGATAGGATAGGGATAGGGATGGGGATGGTGATGGAGATGGGGAACAGGGAATAGGGACAGGGATGGGGACAGGGATGGGGACAGGGAACAGGGAATAGGGAGAGGGAACAGGGACAGGGAACAGGGACAGAGAACAGGGAGAGGGATGGGGACAGGGAACAGGGACAGGGATGGGGAACAGGGACAGGAACAGGGATGGGGACAGGGACAGGGACAGGGATGGAGAAAGGGACAGGGATGGGGAACAGGGATAGGGACAGGGATGGGGACAGGGACAGAGAAGAGGGACAGGGATAGGGAACCGGGAACAGGGACAGGGGACAGGGACAGCGATGGGGAGAGGGACAGGGACCGGGACAGGGAACAAGGATGAGGACAGGGACAAGGAACAGGGACAGGGATGGGGACAGGAACAACTGGCCACTGAGGGTACTGGGATGGCAGGGATGGGGACAGGGATGGGGACAACCAGCCTGTGAGGATGCTGGCACGTGGGGACGGGCACAGGGACAAGTGGTGGCCGAGGACGCCGGCACGGCAGGGGCGTGGCTGGTTTCCCCCAGATCGTGGATTCAGGGCTGCGGGATTCAATTAATAAGGAATTAAAGGATGGTAATATTTAATTAATGTCAATGCAAGAGGGATTATAGGAGGGAGATTTTGGTCAAACGGGGTCGATGGCTCCGTGAGATGAGGCCGGGGTTGGGGAAGGGGTGGGACACACACAGGAACTGTGACCCCCCTCAAATGGTGGATCTGCCACCAGGATGGAACCCCGGCACCCAGGACCTCCAGGATGACCATCCCAGTGGTCATGGACTGACTGGATGTCCAGGATGACCATCCCAGTGGTCATGGACTGACTAGACATCCAGGATCACCATCCCAGTGGTCATGGAATGACTGGATGTCCAGGATCACAATTCCAGTGGTCATGGAATGACTGGACATCTAGGATGACCATCCCAGTGGTCATGGAATGACTGGACGTCCAGGATCACCATCCCAGTGGTCATGGACTGACTGGACATCTAGGATGACCATCCCAGTGGTCATGGAATGACTGGACATCCAGGATGACCATCCCAGTGGTCATGGACTGACTGGACGTCCAGGATGACCATCCCAGTGGTCATGGACTGACTGGACATCCAGGATGACCATCCCAGTGGTCATGGACTGACTGGACGTCCAGGATCACCATTCCAGTGGTCATGGACTGACTGGATGTCCAGGATCACCATCCCAGTGGTCATGGACTGACTGGATGTCCAGGATCACCATTCCAGTGGTCATGGACTGACTGGATGTCCAGGATCACCATTCCAGTGGTCATGGACTGACTGGATGTCCAGGATCACCATCCCAGTGGTCAAGGAATGACTGGTCAGGGTGCCCTGGCCTGGCTGATCACCAGGTGGTGATCAAAGGTCGGACTAGATGGACTTGGAGGTCTTTCCCAACCCCATCAATCCCGTGATCCCAACCCTCCTTCCGGAGCTGCTCCGGCTTTTCCACCTGCCGTCCGTCCCTGTTAGAGTTTACAAAGCCGAGGGGGGAAAGAGGAGAGAACAGAACAGGAGAGGGCACTGAGTGACTCCCAGCAGGATCCTCCTGCCCAGCTCCCTCCCGAGCTGCCGGCTCTGCCCGTTCCCGGCCGGCGCTGTCACCGCGGGTTGCGGCGGAAAAGGAGGATCGTAAATTGTTGATGATGGCAAGAGGGACCTTCCCCGGGAAACATCAGGCTGGGAGAGGCAGCGGTGCCGTGCTGGTGCGTCCCTGGTGATCTGGGGAGGGGGGGTAAAAGGGGGTTGGCACCGCAGGGGGTGGTCGGAGCATCCCGAATTTACAACTCCTCATCCCAACTGTGCTGCCGGCCCTGAGGGAGCCCAGGACCCCCCAGGGGTGGCCACACTGGGGACACTCATTGTCCTCATGCCCCCCCCCCACCCCAAAGCCCAGGCCAGGGTTTGAGCTGAAAGCCCCGAATCACCAGGGCTCCCAAAAATAGCAGGAGCAAGGGGAGGGAGGAGGGGGGGGTGGATGTGCCAGGGCTCATCATGTCTCGGCGCCGGCACATCCCGCCGGCGACAACCACGGCTCGGCACCGCCAACAGCCGGCAGGATGGGACCCTCAGCACCGCCCCTGCCTCAGTTTACCCCTCCCTGGAGCCACCAACAGCCCCACGAGGTTATTCCATGAGGTTTCTCCACGGGGTTATCCCACGAGGTTGTTATTCCACGGGGTTATCCCACGAGGTGGTTATTCCATGGGGTTATTCCACGAGGTTATTCCGGGGCTGCAGCGGGTGATGAGTGACCCCCCCTACCCCGGGGGGGTGGTGACAGTGCTGGGGACAGCGACAGCGCCGTGCCCTGTCTGCAGGACCCGTCCCCTGCCTCATCCTGCCCTTCTCTGCCGTCTTTCCGCTCCGCCGGGCAGGGCCCCAAGGAAGCCAAATCCTCTTTTCTCTCCCCGCGGAATAAAACCAGCAGAGAGAGAGAGTATTTTTGATTTATTTTATTTTATTTTCCCCCTTCCCTCCCTGCCTTATATCTCCCCCCCCCTCCTCATATAAATAGAAACTTGGGAAGAGGGTGGGGGGAAAGGCTCAAATTTAAAAGCGACAAGAAGAGGAAGGGGAGGAGGGAAGAGATAAAATAATAATAAAAAAAATAAAAAAGAAGGGGGGAAGAAAAAAAAAACCTCCAGCGAGGAGAGATTTGGCTCCATCTGAAAGCTGTCAGTGTGAATAAAAAGCTTTTTCTTTGAACCCGGAGTTTAATAGCGAGAGGAGAGGGAGGGGCCGCGGCTCCGGCCCCGGGGCTTAATCAGCCCCGTGCTGGATAAATACAGGGAGACAGCCCGGCAAGGGGCTCCTGGCACGAGGGGGGCACAGGGGGGGCCACGCCGAGACATGGGAAGCCCTGCAGGCCATGGTTGTGCCCTGGAACATGGAGCATCCTGTGTGCTCCCTGGAACATGGAGCATCCCTTGGGCACATGTGTGTGTTCACTGGAACATGGAACATCCCACAGGCACATCCATGTTCTCATGCACATGTGTGTGTTCCCTGGGACATCCCACGGGCACAGGCGTGTTCTCATGCTCCAGGCACGTGTTCCCACGCACACGTGTGTGCATCCACTCTCGGAGCCCACTGTGCCCAAAGAGGGGCCACGGCATCGAAGGAGGGGGGCACAGCGGTGAGGGAGCAGTGGTGACAAGGGGGACACGGTGACACCGCGAGGAAGGGGGGGCGGGGTGGCTTCCTCCCCGCCCTGGGGACGCTCCGCTCCGCCGTCGTCACCTCCACGCGGTGTCGGAGGAGGGGGGTGGCCCCCGCGACACGAAAATCCTTTCAGCGCTCGCTGGAAGCGCCGCTCGGCGCTGCCTCCCCCGCACCCGGCGCGGCCCCGCCAGACTAAACAGCCCTTTTTGCCCGGCAGGACGGGCACTGCGGGGGGCACATCGTGACAAACACCCCCCATCCCGATGGTTTGGGGCGCTCCCGAAGCCTCTGGAGCAGAGGAGGGGAAGGGAGGGAGGTGGTTGTTGTGTCACCTCCAAACAACCTCCCTGGGGAAGGGGCGGGATTGGCACCCACCAGGAGACCCCCACCCACCCACCCACCCACCCAGGGGGGTGTTTTGGTGGCTGGGGAGATGGGCTGGGTACCACGGGCATCCTCGCCCTCCTCCTGCCCTTCCCGCTGCCCCCGGGGAAGCTCCAGATGAAACAGCCGGGAACGAACGGCCGGGATGGAGTTTGGGGAGGGCAGGGGGAGCATCCCTGGGAACGCTGGCAGAGCAGCCAGAGCGGTGGGTGGCTGGTTGGCACCTCGATCTGCCCAAAATATCCATGCTGTGGGCCATCCCAGCCTGGTGCTGTGCCAGCCCGGTGTCATCCCCGTGCCCGCCGGGCAGCCAAGAGGCTGCGGGTCCCCCCCGCTTCCCGTCTCTCCCTGCTCCTCCTCCCACCTGTCTCGCCCCCCCCCTCCACCCCTTTCCCTGCTCTGATCTTCCCTCCCACCTCCCTCTCTCCCGGCACCTTCCTCTTTGATCTCCTGCTCTGCTTTTTATTTCCCCCCCCCTTCCTTCACCCCCCCTATTCCTGCTCCATCCCTCCGCTCCATCCCCCGCCTCTGGATCGCTCCTTGCCTTTATCTTCCTCCTTCCCTGGATCCCTGCTCGGTTTTCCCTCCCTCTCCAGGGTGGGGGGACACAAGGCTGGCAGGCATGGGTTAGGGAGGGGGGGAGTGGCACAGGGTCACCCCCGGGTGGCCTGGGGGGCTGTGACTGTCCCCAAATCAAGGGGAGCACGAGGCCTCTTTGTCCTGCTGGGGTGCCCCATCCCAGGGATCCAGGGATGTGCTATCCCAAAGATCCCTGGGTGCCCCATCCCAGGGATGCTGAGGCTCCTGGGGGTCCCAGGGATCCTGGGAATGCCATTCCATGCCCGTGCCAGGCCCGTGCAGGCCAGGCAGGCAGAGGCTGTGTGGGGACTCGGCAGCTCCGTTATCCGCAGCTCGCTCATCCCCAAAAGGGATTTGTGCCTCCCTCCCTCCCTCCCTCCCTTCCCGCTCCACGGCACAAACCGTTAGAATATTCCAGAAAAAAAATAAATAAATAATTTAAAAAAAGGGCTTTCAGCTGAGAGAAGCAGCTCCTCCGAGGCCATACCCCTCTCCCAGTGCCCTTCCCGGGGGTCTGTGCCCATCCCCATTCCCTGCCCTGGGGACGTCACTGTGTCAGGCACAGCCACGTCCCTCCCTCCCGCCCCGTCCGGGTCGATCCCCGCTGGCCGCGTGATGGGACACGCAGGGATCGATCCCCGCGGCCACCGCTCGGGCTCGGGGGCTCATCCGGCCCGGTTTGGGGGTCCCACACCCGCAGGAGCCCCTCAGGAGCTCCTGAGGGAGCAGGGGGATGATGGAGCAGGGAATGCCGGCGTGCTGGGCGCCCCAAGCCCTGGCTGATCGTGGTGCTGTGCCCGCAGCGACGCAGACGAGGTTCGTGGAGGAGCCCGAGGACCAGACGGTGGTGGCCGGGCAGAGGATCGTCCTCTCCTGCGTCGTCCTCAACTACTCCGGCATCGTGCAATGGACCAAGGACGGCCTGGCCCTGGGAATGGGGCAGGGGCTCAAAGGTACCGCTCTCTGGGAATGCCGGGAATGGCTGGGAATGCCGGGAATGTCACCACGTGGGGCGGGGATGTCACCTCCGCAATGGGACGGGGGATGTCACATGGGGCAGGGGGGTGTCACCACGAGGGGCAGAGGTTTCCCTCCACCCAGCATTCCTGGCTGCTTTAGGATGGTGATCCATGTCAGGCGAGCACCTGGATCCCTGTGGGCACCGGGCACCATCAGGGCCCCCTGGCACTGCCCGTACCATCCCCAGAGGGGCAGGGACTGCTTCCCTTCCACCCCTCCCCTCCCTCTGGGGAATTGGGGTGTGTCCCCCCCCTCTCCTCCTCCATGTGTGTGTGACCCCCTGTGCCACCCCCACAGCCTGGCCCCGGTACCGCATCGTGGGCACGGCGGACTCGGGGCAGTACAACCTGGAGATCAGCGACGCCGAGCTCTCCGATGACGCCGTCTACGAGTGCCAGGCCACCGAGGCCGCGCTGCGCTCGCGCCGGGCCAGGCTCACCGTGCTCAGTAAGGACACGCCCCTGTGCCCCCCGGGGCATCCTGTGTCCCCTCACCATCCCCTGTGTCCCCTCACCATCCCCTGTGTCCCCTCACTGCACCCTGTGTCCCCTCACTGCACCCTATGTCACCTGGGGCACCGCCTGTGACCCCTACCAGCGTTTGGACAACGCTCTTGGGGACAGGGTGGGATTTTTGGGGTGTCCTGTGCTGGACTGGATGGTCCCACTCAGGAATTCAGTGGTTCTTCAAGCCAGGAATGAGGCTTTAGCTCTGGATCAACAAGAGGATTAATCCTCAGCTCCACTGGCGATCCCAACTCTGCCCCCTCGTCCCCCTCCCTCCATCACAGAGCACCATCAATTTTCCAGCGTCAGGCAGGGGTGGGGCGGGATCTGCCCGTCCCCCCGGGGCGGTGGGCAGGGATCCAGCGCCCACCCGGTGTCCCCTGTCCCCTCTGCAGTCCCCCCCGAGGACCCCACGATCGACGGAGCCCCCGAGATCCTGCTGAGGGCGGGGACCCCCTACAACCTGACGTGCCGGGCCCGGAGCGCCAAACCCGCCGCCACCATCGTCTGGTTCCGGGACGGGCTCCAGCAGGATGGAGCCGTCACCACCACGGTATGGGGACACCTCCTGGGCTGGTGCCACCCCCCTGAGTGTCCCCAGGGCCGGCAGCAACCGCCCTCTCTCCCACACTCAGGAGGTGTTGGCTGATGGGAAGAGGGAGACGACCACCAGCCTGCTGGCCATCAACCCCACCGACCTGGACATCGGGAGGGTCTTCTCCTGCCGCAGCTCCAACGAGGCCGTCCCGGCGGGCAAGGAGACCTTCGTCAAGCTCAACGTTCACCGTGAGCCGGGGCGGGGCTGGAAGGGGAGGGAGGGAGACACGCAGGGAGGTTTTTGGGGTGTCCGGGTTGGGGGAGGATGTGCCCGCTTTTTGGGGGGGTGGGATTTGCGGGGTCCCAGCTGAGGAGGAGGCTGGTGGTGAAGGACGACCTCCGGTGGTGAATGGGGAGCTCTGGTGGTGAACGCCGAGCTCCGGTGGTGAACACTGACCTCCGGTGGTGAATGTGGAGCTCTGGTGGTGAATGTGGAGCTCCGGTGGTGAACACCGACCTCCAGTGGCTGCTGTGGGAAGGCTCAACCCCACTGAAGCACCCACGCAGAAAGGGATGCAGAGAGGGCCAGGCAAGGGGTGGGGGTACCCAGGCCCAGGGATGGTCTGGAAAGTCACTGGGAAGGGATTTGGGGGTGCCCACCACGAGCACCCAGCAGGGACTTGGCTGGGTGCCCCCAGAACGGATCACCAGCGCTTTGGGCACCTCCCTTTGTCCCCCCCCGTGCCCCCCCTGAGCCTGTGACGACTCCGTCCTCCCTCCCCACAGATCCCCCGACCGTCACCCTGTCCATCCAGCCCCAGACGGTGCAGGAGGGCGAGAGGGTCGTGTTCACCTGCCTGGCCACCGCCAACCCCGAGATCAAAGGCTACAGGTGAGGGGGGTCCCCCCCACCAGCCCCTGGAGGTCCCGGTGGGACCCTGCGGGTCGTGGATCTGCCAGGAGGCAGGAAGGGGTCGAACAGGGCCCCTGAACGTGCCCGTCCTTGGCTCTGTGCCCCAGGTGGGCCAAGGGGGGGGTGATCATCGAGGAGGCCAAGGAGAACAGGTACGACACGCAGGTGGACTACACCTTCTTCACGGAGCCCGTGTCCTGCGAGGTGCACAACGACATCGGCAGCACCAACGTCAGCACGCTGGTGGACGTGCACTGTGAGTGGGGTGGGGCGGCCAAAATCCCCAAAATCCACAAGCACACACATGTGTGTGTGTCCCCCCACACTGGGCTCTGCCCCTCACTTTCTCCCCCTCCAGTCGCCCCCCGCATCGTGGTGGACCCCAAACCCACGGTCACGGACATCGGCTCCGACGTGACACTGACGTGCGTGTGGTCGGGCAACCCGCCCCTGACCCTCACCTGGACCAAGAAGGAGTCCAACATGGTAGGGCCTGACAAGCTGAGCCGCTGGGGGGTGGTCCATGGGGCCCCCCCCCTGTGAACCCTCCCTCCTGATGCACCCCACCACCACCACCACTTGCACCCAGGTCCTGAGCAACAGCAACCAGCTGTACCTGAAGTCCGTCACCCAGGCGGACGCAGGGCAGTACATCTGCAAAGCCATCGTGCCCCGCATCGGGGTGGGCGAGAGGGAGGTCACGCTCTTCGTCAACGGTGAGTGACCCCCCCCTTCCCCCCAAAAACCAGGAAACACCCCCCCCATACCTTGTGCCCCTCCAAAAAACACACTTCAGGGGCAAAGCAAGGATTCTGTTGGGGACATTCACCGAGTTTGCCCCCCACCCTTTCAAGGCCCCCCCATCATCTCGAGCGAGGCGGTGCAGTACGCCGTGCGCGGTGACCGCGGCAAGGTGGAGTGTTTCATCGGCAGCACCCCGCCCCCCGACCGCATCGTGAGTGCCACCAGATGGGTTTGGGGGGGGTTCCTCGGGGTGGTGCTGAGCTCCAGCTGCTCACCCAGCCCTCCACCCCTTTCCTCTGTGCCACCCTGCCAGGCATGGGCGTGGAAGGAGAACATCCTGGAGGCGGGGACGCTGGAGAGGTACACGGTGGAGAGGACGAACACGGGCAGCGGGGTCCTGTCCACCCTCACCATCAACAACGTCATGGACGCCGACTTCCAGACCCGCTACAACTGCACGGCCTGGAACAGCTTCGGGCCGGGCACCGCCATCATCCAGCTGGAGGAGAAAGGTTGGGGACCACCTTGGGGTGCTGGAGGGCCCCGAGTTTGCCTGGTGAGGCCTGGCAGTGCCCCCATGCCCCCAGGTGACGCCCCCCGTCTCCCACAGAGGTCCTGCCCGTGGGCATCATCGCCGGCGCCACCATCGGCGCCAGCATCCTCCTCGTCACCTTCCTCGTGGCGCTCACCTGCTTCCTCTACCGGCGCCGCAAAGGAAGTGAGTGGGGAGGACAGGGGGGTCCTGGGGGGGGGTCCCCAACCACCCCACAGCCCACCAGGGGTGCCACCCATGCCCCGGTGCCACGTGCCGTGTCCCCCAGGCCGCAAGGACGTGACCCTGCGCAAGTTGGACATCAAGGTGGAGACGGTGAACCGGGAGCCGCTGACGCTGCACGCGGACCGGGAGGAGGACACGGCCAGCGTGTCCACGGCCACCCGGGTCATGAAGGCCATCTACTCGGTGAGGGACGACCCCACGGGGCCCTGGTGGGGCGAGCTCTGCCCCTCCTGGCTGCGCCTTCCGAGCTGAAGGAGCCGACAAGGACTCCTGGCAGGAGCTTGGAGCGATGGGACAAAAGGGGGGATGGACTCAAACTAAAGGAGAGGAGGGTTAGGTGGGATTTTAGGAGGAAGTGAGGGTGGGGTGGGGAGCTGTGGCTGCCCCTGGGTCCCTGGAAGCGCCCAAGGCCAGGCTGGACGGGGCTTGGAGCAACCTGGGCTAGTGGAAGGTGTCACTGCCCGTGGTAGGGGGTGGAATGGGGTGATCTTTGAGGTCCTTCTGACCCAACCCCTTCCATGACTCGGTGATTCTCTCCCCACCTCTCCCGCAGTCGTTCAAGGACGACGTGGACTTGAAGCAGGACCTTCGCTGCGACACCATCGACACCCGCGAGGAGTACGAGCTCAAGGTCCGGGGGGGCTGCTGGGCTCATGGGGGGCAGAGGAGGGGCAGGTCCCACTCCTGTCCCTGACTGTGGGGAGGAGAAGGGTCACTTGGTCTGCTAGAGCAGCCCAGGAGCGTTGGGATGATCCTCTGGGGCACAGGGTGGGATTGTTGGGGTGCCCATGCAGGGCCAGGGATTGGGTGGGTGATCCTTGCGAGTCCCTTCCAGCTCAACATTTTCCATGGTTCTGGGAGATGCAGTTCCCACTTTAACATTGCTTCCCAGGCATCCCCACTCAGTCCCACCAAGTCCATCCATGGACTCAATCCCACCAAGTCCATCCATGGACTCAATCCCACCAAGCCCACCAATGGTCTGGGTGATCCCCTTCCAGTCAGGATATTCCACGATTATCCCACGAGACGCCACTCCCAGGCCTTCCCACTCAATCCCACCAAGTCCATCCATGGACTCAATCCCACCAAGCCCACCAATGGTCCGGGTGATCCCCTTCCAGTCAGGATATTCCACGATTATCCCACGAGACGCTGCTCCCAGGCATCCCACTCTCCCCAGGCCTCCCCACTCAATCCCACCAAGTCCACCCATGGACTCAATCCCACCAAGCCCACCAACCTTCCAGTTGAACCCCGTGGGTCCTCCCCACCACCACGAGCTCCCCTTGATGCTCACACCCCACCCACCACCACCTCTCCCCCCTGGCAGGACCCCACCAACGGCTACTACAACGTCCGCGCCCACGAGGACCGCCCGTCGTCGCGCTCCGTCCTCTACGCCGACTACCGCAACCCCGGCCCCTCCCGCTACGACACCCGCCCCCCTTCCCGCCTGTCCCACTCCAGCGGCTACGCCCAGCTCAGCACCTACGCCCGGGGCGGCCCCGCCGCCGACTACGGCTCCTCCGAGCCCCCCCCGGCGCCCGGCGCCGCTCCCGGCACGGCGGGCGGCGAGACGGCGAGCCAGCTGTCCTACGAGAACTACGGTGCCGGCCACGCCGCCTTCCCGGCGGGGCCCGGCTACGCCACGTACCGCCTGGGCTACCCCGGCAACCCGCCGGGCCTGGAGAGGGGGCCCTACGACGCCTACGACCCCATGGGCAAGTTCGCCAGCGCCACGCGCTTCTCCTACACCTCCCAGCACTCGGACTACGGGCAGCGCTTCCAGCAGCGGATGCAGACGCACGTTTAGGGCGGGTAGAGGGGGGAAGGAGGGGGGGGCCTACAGGTACCTCAACGACTGTCCCCTGATATTCAGGGGCTCATCCCGACCCCTCGTGCCCGGGTTTCTACCCCCCCACCCCTCCCCGAGTGTCTTTGAGCTTCCACTCATTCCGTTCTTTCTTTTCGGTACCTTCCCCGGAGGAGGGAGAGGGTTTGGGGAGGGGAGGGGGATGAGGGGGATGGGGAGTTTCCTGCCCGTTGTGCCCCCACCCCATCCCCACATCCCCATTGTTTTCCAGCCCCCTCCCCCTCCCAAGAGCTCCGCAGGGCCGGATCCTTCTCCCCAGCACCCAGAGCTGCCCCCCCATCCCGCCTGGAATCCCCCGTGGGATGGAGGAGGGGAGTGGGAGGGGTGCTCTGTGTGTCCATCAATCCATAGGGACACGCCTCGTTCCCGCCAGAAAAAAACCCCATCCCAGCCATTCCCATTCCCTGTGCCTTGATTTTGGGGCGAGCCCTCCCTCCGGGCCGGCTCCAGCCCCTTCCCTGTCCCCTCAGCCCCCTGGGAGCCACTCCCAGGGGTGTCCCGGTGGTCTCAGGGGACGGGGACGTGGAGTGGGGGGGAAGGATTTGGGGGATTTGGGGCTGCAGAGCCCCCCGGGGTTGGCACATCCTCACCATACGCACACATTCCCATGGGAAAGGCGGCCCAGCCCCCACCTGTCCGGGTTGTCACCTTGTCCCCAAGGTCAGGGACACAGCGAGGGGGGGTCCCTTTTATGAATGTACAGATAACACAGGGGTAGAAAAGGCCCCCCAAGCCCCCAACCCGCATTCCCAGAGCGCTCCAGAGGAATGTTCGGAGCCGGGATGACCCCAAACCGGTTGGGATCAGGAGCTGCAGGGCCCGGGAGACGCTTGGGGACCCCGATTTCGCTGCCTTGGAGCGGTGACTTCCCCCACAGCAGTGGGGAATTGTGGGGTGGGAAGTCCTGGATGAGTTTTGAGGGAAGGCAAAGAATTCCCGGGTTATCCCAGCCCTGCAGAGCCTCAGGATTAGGTACGAAACACCCCCCCACACACAACCCCACACAGACACAAACACACCCTGGGGTTGAGGGGGAAAGGACACATTTTCCCATCCCCAATCCCAGCAGGATGGATCCCACACCCCACCAGAAGCAGGTACGACACACACACACACACACACGGAAGGGCTGGAAAGGGATTTCCTGCCCCCCTCCTTTTCCCAGGATTCCTCCCCCTTCCCTCTCCTCCTCTCCCCCAAAAAAATATAAAAGGTACTGCCAGGACAGGCCCAAGCCTGGAAGGTGCTGAGCCAGGACCTCCGGCCATTCCCAAGGTGCCTGATTTTAACACCCCCTCCTCCCATCCCACAAACCCCCCCCTCGCTCCAAGGAGAGGGGAGGGGGGGCTCCCACTCCAGGTGCTGCACCCCCCACATCAATAGCAATATCCCATGGGAAAATTGGGAAGGAGGGGGGTCCCCAATCCAGCCACCCCCAGGCACCGGGAAGCGAAGCCGAAGCTTTAAATTCCAACCCCTCCCACTTCCCCAACCCCAAGACCCCCCGTGGTAAAAACGGGAATCCCCCTCACTCAGCACAGGCTGGTTCAGACACCCCCCAACATTTCTCTGACCCCCTCACACACACACCTTCCCTTTTTTTTTACGTTCCATTTTTCCTTTTTTTTTTTTTTTAAATATTCTGTACTATATTTTTAGTCTTAAACACGATATATTATATATATTTAATTTTTTTATATATATATATAAATATAAATGGTTAAAAAAAAAAAAAAATAAAAGGGTTTTTTTTGGTGGTGGTGTTCTTGTGGGAGCGGCGGGAAAGGGTTGGGGACATGCAGTGACCTCCCCCTGTAACTCCCACCTGGAGCCAGGAGGAGCAAGGGAGAGGCTTCCCAGCCCTTCCTGGCTTTGATATCCATATTTTGGGATGATTTATTTCCTGGGTAATTTATTCCTGGGATGGGTTGTGATTTATTCCCGGGATAGATTCCTAATTTATTCCCCCAGGAATATTCGCCCTCCTCTCCCAGCAGCACCAAATCCCTGGTCTGGTCCTTCCCTCCCACCACTTCCCTCCTTCTTCCTCTCCCTTCCTTCTTTTTTTCCCCCTCCCTCTTCCTCCCCTTCCCCTCATCCTTCTCCCACTTTCCTTCCCACCTTTTTTCCCCTCCTTCTTCCCAAACCCCTGGAAAGTTGGGATTGGGATCCCCTCAGCGGTCCAGGGCAGGCAGGGGGTGCTGATTCCCAGCTTATCCCACCCTCTCCATGGAGACAGTCCCGGCTCTGAGGAGAAATTCCCACTCTGGGAATGCACATTTCCCCCTCCCACCTCCCCCAGGGAGCTGGGAATGGCTGGAATTCCAATCCAGAGACCCCACCTCGCTCCCATGGTGTGTGTGGAGCAATGTCTGGATTGGAAAGATTGGAAAAACACCAACCAGAAGCACCTGGAGATGCAGGGAAAACACCCCCCACCCTCCCAAAATTCCCGCTGTTCCCACCTTTCAACCAACCCAAGCAGGATTTGGAGGCAGATGATGTATTTTCCTACCAAAAACAGGCAATAAAAACCACCCCAGCTCCTCCCCCCGGGGTGGGGAAAGGGATGGTTGGTGTTTTCCCAGGTCAAACGTGGGATGGGGCAGTCCTGGGCTGCATTCCTGGGAATGCCAGGGCTGGCAGCCTGTGCCTGTCGCCACATCCTTGGGAGACACCAATAATTTAGGGAAATAAATACAGGGGAGTGCCCCAAAGTGCCCCGAACGGCCCCTGGGGTCACACACATGGCACAGAGAACGGGTCCAAACTGGGGGGGGGGGAAGAGCTTGGGAATACACGGATTTTTCAGCCAGGTGGGTGCTGGAGGTTGGAAATCGGGCGGGAAAGGAGGGATTTCTCTCTCTGGGAGGTGGAATCTTTGCATTTGGGAGTTTGGAAAACCCGAAAGGAAAGGGTGGCCTTCAACCCCCACCCCAGGCCGTGTTGAAGCTGGAGGGGAGAGGGGGAATCTGGTTGAGGGGGGAGAGGGGAGACCCTCCCTCCAAACCCAGCCTGGGACAGCAAATCCACTCCAAGAAGGAAAGGAAAGGGGGGGGAACTATCCCAGCTTCCAGACCCGGGAGCTGGGCTGGGATCCCGCAAGGAACAGCCACGTTCGGGCGCTTCCCAAACCTCCTTCCCTGCTCCAGGAGTGCCCCTTGGGGCTCCATCCACCCTCGGCTGCCGCAGCTCCCGGGAGGGCCCCGAGGCCGGAGCCAAGCAGGGAAAATCCGGAAAATCCGGGCCAACCACGACAAAGGGGAAGAGTCCAGCTCGGCCCAGCCCTCGCAGATCAGGTCTCCACCACTCGGATCAGAGGCAGCGGCTTGGGGCCCGTCAGCCTCTTGCTGCAGGAGGAGAAAGGGGGGGTTTTCAGGACGAAAAAAAGGCTTAGGGGGTGATGGATCCCCCCCTTCTTCCCCACGGGAGGGATTTTGGCTGCCCTGGGCTCTGCTGAGGGAGGGGATGAGGGGATGGAGACGTGGGAAAAAGTAGGGTGTGCTTCCCAAGAGTATCCCCGGATCCAGAAGGGCATCCCCAATTTGTGGGGAGCATCCCTGTTTCCCAAGAGCATCCTCAAATCCAGAAGGGCATCCCTTGCTATCCAAGAGCATCCTCAGATCCAGAAGAGCATCCTTGCTTCCCAAGAGCATCCCCGGATCCAGAAGGGTATCCCTGCTTCCTAAGAGCATTCCCAGACCCAGAGGAGCATCCCTGCTATCCAATAGCATCCCCAGACCCAGAGGAGCATCCCTGTTTCCCAAGAGCACCCCAAATCCAGAGGAGCATCCCTGTTTCCCAAGAGCATCCTCAAATCCAGAAGGGCATCCCTGCTATCCAAGAGCATCCCCAGATCCAGAAGGGCATCCCCAATTTGTGGGGAGCATCCCTGCTTCCCAAGAGCATCTCCAGATACAGAACAGCATCCCCAATTTGTGGGGAGCATCCCTTCTTCCCAAGAGCATCCCCAGATCCAGAAAGGCATCCCAGATTTGTGGGGAGCATCCCCAGATCCAGAAGGGCATCCCTTCTTCCCAAGAGCACCCCCAGATCCAGAAGGGCATCCCTGCTTCCTAAGAGCATCCCCAGATACAGAACAGCATCCCCAATTTGTGGGGAGCATCCCCAGATCCAGAAGGACATCCCTGCTATCCAAGAGCATCCCCAGATCCAGAAGAGCATTCCCAATTTGTGGGGAGCACACCCTGACCCAGAGGACTATCCCTGCTATCCAAGAACATCCCCAAATCCAGAGGAGCATCCCTGCTTCCCAAGAGCACCCCCAGACCCAGAAGAGCACCCCCCAATCCAGCATCACCTCCCAGCCAGGCCGTGGCCCTGCAGAGCAGCCAGGTGTTCTCCCCCCACCTCCAATCCCGGCTGGAATTCCATGTTTCCCCCCGTACCTGCTCACGTATTCCGACTTGGAGCGGGCCCTGGAGCTGTGCCCGCCCCGGCTGACCTGCTTCTCGATCAGGTGCTCGATGCGGTCGTGCATCTCCAGGTTCTGCAGGAGAAGGGGCAGGAGTTGGGAATGGGGCTGGAGCAGCAGGAGAAAGGGCTGGAGAAATTCCTGAGGGAGCTGGGGGTGCTCAGCCTGGAGAAAAGGAGGCTCAGGGGGACCTTCTGGCTCTCTGGAACTCCCTGACAGGAGGGGGGAGCAGGGTGAGGGTCAGGATCTTCTCCCAGGTACAAGAGGGAACGGCCTCGAGCTGTGCCAGGGGAGGGTCAGGTTGGATATCAGGAATTTCCCCATGGAAAGGGTGGTGAGGCCTTGGCAGGGGCTGCCCAGGGAGGTTTGGAGTCCCCATCCCTGGAGGTGTCCAAGGAAGGACACTGAGTGCTCTGGGTTGGGGGCCACAGGGTGGACTCGGATGACCTTGGAGGGCTTTTCCAACCTCAGGGACCCACCTCAGCCTCCAGGTAAGAGACTCTCTCCTTCAGCTCCTGGATCGTGGAATCCTTGTCCTGAATCACCGCCTTGGAGTTCTGGAGCTGCAAGAGGCAAGCCCAGAACGGTTTGGGAACCCCTTTCCTCGTGGACAGGTGGGAAGTGCCCAGGGGGCTTTTTGGAAGTGCCTTCCCAGCCCTGCAGCCCCTCACCTGCTCGATCATCTGCCGGACTTTGCGCTGCTGGCTCTTCAGCATGTCATCCAGGTGATGGATCTTCTCCCTCAGCATGGCCACCTCCTTCTCCAGCTGGGCCACCCTGGGAGAGAGCAGGGACACGGTCCAGGAGCCACCCAAAACCGGGAACACCCCCCCCTTCCCCCCAAAAACGCAGCCTTGTGGTCTCCTCTCTCCAGCCTCAGGAATTTTTTGGGGAGGATAAGGAGAAGGAGAGACACAAACCCTATCCCAGCAGGAACCACAAAGCCTGGAAACCGCAGGAACAGCAGGAAGAGCTGGGCCACCAAAAAAAAACCAAAAAAAAACGAGGCCTCCCAGAAAACAAACCCGTCCGTCCCCAATCCCGCCCTGGAGCGGCTCCCCCGGGGGCTCCAAACCTGGGCCCGGATCTCCCAGCAGGACTCAGGGAGGGTTTGTTGGGGTTTTTTTTTTTGGTTTTTGGGGGGGATGAATCAGCTGTGGGGGAGCAGGGAAGGGTGTTTTGCAAGGCAAGGCAGGGCCAGCACGCCCTGCCCTGCCCAGGAATGTGCAGTCGTGCCCCGGCAAGGAGCGGTGACACCCCCGGCTCCTCCGGAGCCTGGCGGGATTCCCGGGAGAAAGAGAGAGAGAGAGAGGAGCTTGGCAGAGTTCCAGGGGGGGCCTCACCGGTCCTGCTGGGCGAGCTTGTCCCCTTCCACGCTCCGCAGCCGCTCCAGCTCGGCCTCTCCGGCTTTCAGCTCCGCCACCAAGCCCCGGTGCTCCTGCGGCGGGAGGAGAGAGCGGGGGGAGTTATCCCACATGGAAAAACATGGGATAGGTGTTTCCCTGGGCTTCCCAACCTCTGATCATCAAATACCAACCTCTGATCACTCAGTCCCACCTCTGATCACCAAATTCCACCCCTGATCACCCAATCCCACCTCTGATCATCAAATACCAACCTCTCGTCATCAAATACCAATCTCTGATCACCAAATACCACCCTCTGACCACCAAATCCCACCTCTCATCACCCAATCCCACCTCTCATCACCAAATTCCAACCTCTGATCACCAAGTCCCACTTCTGATCATCAAATACCAACCTCTGATCATCAAATCCCACCCCTGACCACCCAATCCCACCTCTGACCACCCAATCCCATCTCTGACCACCAAATCCCACCTCTGATCACCCAATACCAACCTCTGACCACCAAATACCACCTTCTGATCATCAAATCCCACCTCTGACCACCCAATCCCACCTCTCATCTCCCAATCCCAACCTCTGATCACCCAAAAACCTTTCCCTAAAACCCATCCTAACCCTCCCCTGCCCCATCTGCAGCCCCTCCCTCAGGCTCTGTCACAGGAGGAGAGCTCAGCTCATCCCCCACCGTCCCATTTAGGACTTTAACCTTAAAAACGAGCTAAAAAAAACCCAAACCAAACCAAAAACAACACCCCACAATAATAAGATCCCTCGCTGCAGGTTGTGGGAAATGCCCCACGAGCAGAACTGTCTAGACAGTGCTGCCACTTCCAGGAGACCTGGAAGAGCCTGAATGGACCAACCAGCTCTTCTAGGCCTGGGGGGAAAAGGCCCCTTTCAATCACACCGGTGGATTCCCAGCAGCTGGATATCGGGTTAGACCTGGTTGGGAAGCCAAACCCCTGCTGGGGGGGGGGATTTTGGGTTCCCTGGGCTGGTTCCCATGCCCAGCTCTGCTAATCCTGACCCTTTTCCTTATCCCCTGGAGGCTGCTGGTTACCTTTTCCAGCCCGGCCAGGCTTCTCTGCAGCTCATCCACCTGCAGCTCCTTCTGCTCCGCGGTCCTCTCGGCTCTCCGGAGGGCAGAGCTCGTCCTCTCCGCTTCCTCCTGGTACTGGGCCACCGTCCTCTGGGGGAGGAGATGATGGGAAAGGCTCAACACATCCCCCAAGCCCCGTGGGTGCTCCCAGGGGGTTTTTGCTGGAGGCACCTGGAGGTGTCTCCCAGGGAAAGTCCTTCAGGAGGTTCCCCCGGTTTCAAAACACTTCCAAGGGTGAGGAAAAAGCTCCCCAGATGAGGGAGACACGGAGGTTCTGAGCTCCAGGGGGACCTCTGGGACCACCTGCCCCTGGAAATGGCCTTGGTCACCAAGCCCCAGTTTGGGATGGCCACTCCTTCCAGCAGTGGGACCAGGGAGAGCTCTGGGAGCCCCGAGGGGACAAGGATGGGGTGACCACCCCCAGGGGTGACCCAGGGGACAAGGATGGGGTGACCACCCCCAGGAGGTGACCCAGGGGACAAGGATGGGGTGACCAGCCCCAAGGGGTGACCCAGGGGAAAAGGATGGAGTCACCAGTCTAAGGGGTGACCCAGGGGACAAGGATGGAGTGACCAGCCCAGGAGGTGACCCAGGGGACAAGGATGGGGTCACCAGCCCCAAGGGATGACCCAGGGGACAAGGATGGGGTGACCACCCCCAGGGGGTGACCCAGGGGACAAGGATGGGGTCACCAGTCCAGGGGGTGACCCAGGGGACAAGGATGGGGTCACCAGCCCAGGGGGTGACCCAGGGGACAAGGATGGGGTCACCAGCCCAGGAGGTGACCCAGGGGACAAGGATGGGGTGACCAGTCCAGGGGGTGACCCAGGGGACAAGGATGGGGTGACCAGCCCCAAGGGGTGACCCAGGGGACAAGGATGGGGTCACCAGCCCCAGGGGGTGACCCAGAGGACAAGGATGGGGTCACCAGCCCCAGGGGTGACCCAGAGGACAAGGATGGGGTGACAAGTCCAGGGGGTGACCCAGGGGACAAGGATGGGGTGACCACCCCCAGGGGGTGACCCAGAGGACAAGGATGGAGTGACCAGTCCAGGGGGTGACCCAGGGGACAAGGATGGGGTGACCAGCCCCAAGGGGTGACCTCAGCCACCATCAACAGCTCAGGAGCTCGGGAATGACAAGGACAGGCCACCCTGCCCAAGGGTGGGTCAGCTGCCCAAGGAAGTGACCTCAGCCACTGCCCACACCCCCCACCAGCATCTCAGGAGCTCAGAGGGGACCAAGGTGCCCCCACAACAGCTGCAGGGCAGGTCCAACGTGTGGCCAAGCACCAAAGGACCCCCTGGAACACCCACCACGGGTGACCAAAGACCCCGAGATGCCACCAAACCGCACCACTTCCTACAGAGGAAGGACTGAGGTCCCCCAGGGCACCCCCTGTCACCCCTCCAACCCCACTTCCTGGGGATCCCCCCCTCCTGGGCTGCCCAGGACCAGTTTGGCCTGTGGGACAGGATGGGCACCGGGGTGTCACCGCTGTCACCAGCTGTGGGGTGACACAGCCAGGCCCTGCCCATCCGGGCCGTGAGTGAGCAGTCACCAAATAAAAAACACACCAAAGGGGACAATTAACCCTTGGGGGAGGAGGAGGAGGAAGGGAGGAGAAGCAGGAGGAGGTGGCCACCTCCAGCAGCCCCAATGTGTCCCTCAGGCTCCCCGGGAAGCTTCGAAAACCACCAAAATGAGACGAAATTCCCTTCTCAGTCACCTCAAAGGCTTTTCTTTCCAACTGATGGCGCTTCTCGGCCTCCTGCAGCCTCCTGAGGAGCCTCCTGGCCGTCTGCTGGAGCGTCTCCACGTCCTGGCTGGAGCAATTCTCCTCCTCCTGGGCAGGGACAGGGCGGGATGAGTCGGGAGGCACCAAAGGGTCCCCCCCACCCCACCCCATCCCAGTGTGGGTGACACCCCTGCCCCACTCCTGTCCTCGCCTCCCACGCTCCCAAGCATCAGCTTCGGGATCCTCTGGTGGCATTCCCAGCCCTCGTTTCGGAGGAGGCCACTTGGGCAACCTGAAACCCAAGAGAGGCCCAGCCCAAAATCCCAGCCTGGAGTGTTTGGGTTGGATTGGGGGAACCCCGAGGTCTTTTCCAGTCTCAGGGATTCCAGGATCCTGTGATCTGCCCCAGCCCAGGGGAAGGAGGAAGAGCTGGAGGGATGCTCAGTGAGATTCCTGTTATCCCCGGTGCTAAAAAAACCTTTGGAATGCTTTTTAAAGTGGGGATCAAACCTCCCAAAAAGTGCATTTTTATATCTAAAATGGAGCCTCTCCCCATCTCTGAGCTGACCCTGTTTGCTGCAGGATCAAGCTGTGACAAAAAACCCACCCAATTAAACCTCCATTCCCCAAAATCACGGAATGTTCGCTGGAAGTGACTTCTCCCAGCTCACCAAGCCTCATCCCACCCATCACCTGGAACATTCCCCTTTTTTAATCCCTCCTCTCCGTACCTGCTCCTGCCAGGAGTCCCCCCGGAGCCTCTCGGGCACGTCCAGCTCCCGCTCTGCTGCTCCAGCACCACCTGCACAACCCAAGGACACCAAGGATGGCACCTCCAGGCCACTCCAACCTCCTCCAGGGGGTTTTCTGCCAACAACCTGCCCAGCCAGAGCCCCTTTTTTAATTTTTTCCTGCCTGACTCCCTCACACAACTCGGCCTGGGAAGCCACCAACACCCTCTGGAGCGTTTTCCTGGGCAAAGTGTGGTCCTCTCAGCCCCCAACAAATCCACAGTGGGGAGTTGGTTATGGATACACGGCCCTGCTGCTCCTGGGGGCTGCAGGGGAGGCAGCTGGTCCAGCCCCAATGTGTCCCTCAGGCTCCCCGGGAAGCTTCGAAAACCACCAGAATGAGACGAAATTCCCTTCTCAGTCACCTCAAAGGCTTTTCTTTCCAACTGATGGCGCTTCTCGGCCTCCTGCAGCCTCCTGAGGAGCCTCCTGGCCGTCTGCTGGAGCGTCTCCACGTCCTGGCTGGAGCAATTCTCCTCCTCCTGGGCAGGGACAGGGCGGGATGAGTCGGGAGGCACCAAAGGGTCCCCCCCACCCCACCCCATCCCGGCGTGGGTGACACCCCTGCCCCGCTCCTGTCCTCGCCTCCCACGCTCCCAAGCATCAGCTTCGGGATCCTCTGGTGGCATTCCCAGCCCTCGTTTCGGAGGAGGCCACTTGGGCAACCTGAAACCCAAGAGAGGCCCAGCCCAAAATCCCAGCCTGGAGTGTTTGGGTTGGACTGGGGGATCCCCAAGGTCTTTTCCAGCCTCAGGGATTCCAGGATCCTGTGATCTGCCCCAGCCCAGGGGAAGGAGGAAGAGCTGGAGGGATGCTCAGTGAGATTCCTGTTATCCCCGGTGCTAAAAAAGCTTTGGAATGCTTTTTAAAGTGGGGATCAAACCTCCCAAAAAGTGCATTTTTATATCTAAAATGGAGCCTCTCCCCATCTCTGAGCTGACCCTGTTTGCTGCAGGATCAAGCTGTGACAAAAAAACCCACCCAATTAAACCTCCATTCCCCAAAATCACGGAATGTTCGCTTGGAAGTGACTTCTCCCAGCTCACCAAGCCTCATCCCACCCATCACCTGGAACATTCCCCCTTTTTTTTTAATCCCCTCCTCTCCGTACCTGCTCCTGCCAGGAGTCCCCCCGGAGCCTCTCGGGGCACGTCCAGCTCCCGTTCTGCTGCTCCAGCACCACCTGCACAACCCAAGGACACCAAGGATGGCACCTCCAGGCCACTCCAACCTCCTCCAGGGGGGTTTTCTGCCAACAACCTGCCCAGCCAGAGCCCCTTTTTTTTAATTTTTTCCTGCCTGACTCCCTCACACAACTCGGCCTGGGAAGCCACCAACACCCTCTGGAGCGTTTTCCTGGCATTTTCCTCTCAGCCCCCAACAAATCCACAGTGGGGAGTTGGTTATGGATACACGGCCCTGCTGCTCCTGGGGGGCTGCAGGGGAGGCAGCTGGTCCATGGAGGCCCAAAATTCACCAAAATTTAGAGAGATGGAGTGAGGGGAGGGAGGAGGGAGGGAGAGGAAAGAGGAGGAATCGAGAGGAGGAATTGAGAGGAATGAGAGGAGGAATCAAGAGGAGGAATCAAGAGGAGGAATCAAGAAGAGGAGGAATCAAGAGGAATGAGGAGGAATCACAAGGAATGAGGAGGAATCAAGAGGAATCAAGAGGAGGAATCACAAGGAATGAGGAGGAATCAAGAGGAATGAGGAGGAATCAAGAGGAGGAATCAAGAGGAGGAATCAAGAGGAGGAATTAAGAGGAATGAGGAGGAATCAAGAGGAGGAATTAAGAAAAAGGAGGAGGAATTAAGAGGAATGAGGAGGAATCGAGAGGAGGAATCAAGAGGAATGAGGAGGAATCAAGAGAAAGGAGGAGGAATCAAGAGGGGGAGTCGAGAGGAATGAGGAGGAATCAAAAGCAGAAGTCAAGAGGAATGAGGAGGAATCAAGAGGAATGAGAAGGAATCGAGAGCGAATCAGGAGGAATCAAGAGCGATCAGGAGGAATCGAGGGAAAACGAGGGGGGTGAAAATTAAAGGGGGAAATCAGGAGAGATCAAGAGATAAATCAAGACAAATCAATGCAAATCCAAAGGAATCTGAATCAGAGGGAGGAAAAAAGGAGTTCTCTGGATAACCCCAAATTCCTGCTTCTCCCAAGAGCCCAAAGCTGGGATCGGAGGAGCCAAAAGCCCCGGGAATGGGAAGGCTCAGGGATAAAAGGGGTGAGATAAAGGGTTGGGTGGCACCACCCCGGAGCAGCCCCGGGCAGGAGGCAGCGGGAACAGACTGTTTTCTTTTTGGAAAAAGTTTTTTTGGCACAGGAGTTTGGTTTTTTTTTGGCACAGGAGTCGGAAGGATGATGAAAAAATCCGGGGAGACGCCCTCCCAGATCAACCCCCTGGGGCTCAGGAACGCCTCAATGGGAGCTTAAATTGAATTTAAATTGATTTATTTCCCCCCTTTTCCCCCTCCCCACTCCTAATTTTATTAAGGTCAAGCTGCCCAGCCCGAGACACGGTCCCACTTCCAAATTTAAATTTAATTATTTCCCCTTTCCCCACTTTTTTAAAATTTTTTTTAAGGCCAAACTGCCCATCCCAGGACATTTCCTCCCTCTCCTCCTAAATTTAAATTGATTTATTTCCCTTTTTCCCATGTGTTTAAAGGCCAAACCACCCATCCCAGGACATTCTCCTCCTCCTAAATTTAAATTATTTCCCCTTTTCCCACGTGTTTAAAGGCCAAACTGCCCAGCCCCTGAGAGGCTCCCCCATCCAAATTTATTTCTTTCCCATTTATTTCCCACGTTTTTAAGGCCAAACCCAGCCCCAGGAGAAGCTCCCACTTCCAAAATCATTCCCAGCGGGAGCCGAGGAAAGGGTTAAAATTCCCAGGTCGCCTCCTCCTCCTCCTCCAGTTCCCTTTGGGAGCCTCGACATTCCAAGGAAACTGCCTTTTAACCGTCGGGGCGGGGCCCGGGAGCGCCTTGGGGGGGAAAAGGCACCGCAATTCCCGAGCAATTCCCGAGCAATTCCCGCCCCAGAGCCCAGCAATTAGTCAGGCGGGACTAATTGATGGCCTCGATTAGAGCGGGAGAATCAACAAACTCCCAAGGGAATCCGGGGGGGATGGGAATTGATGCTCCCGGACACCCTTTGGGTGGGAATTCCCCCCCTCCTCGGCCGGGAATGCCGGGAATTACCTCCTGGATGTACCGCACGTGGCTCTTGAGCTGGGTCACCTTCTCCTCGTGGTTTGTGCTGCCCTCGGCTCGGGCTTTGAGATAAACCTGCCCAGAGAGGCTCAGACTAAAATAAACCTGCCCAGAGTGTCCCAAATCCATCCCAGGATCCCATCCCGAGGATCCCATCCCAAGGATCCCATCCTGTCCCGTCCCCAGGCACCTTCTCCACACGTTTTTCCCCGTCGGACTGAAACATTCCTGGGGTTTTTAGAGCTGTTCCTCCACTTGTGTGACCCCCAACCTTAATTTCAAGCTTAAGCTTCAGCTTGCTTTTAAGCTCCCTGAAAGGCTTTTCAAGATCATCCTCAGTGGAGGTTTGGTTTAAATTTTAAGTCGAACTTCAGGCTCCCTGAAAGGTTTTTTCAGATCATCCTCAGTGGGGGTTTAATTTAAATTTTAAGTTGAATTTTAGACTCCCCTGAAAAGCTTTTCCCAGACCATCCTCAATGGGGGGTTTAATTTAAATTTTAAGTCGAATTTTAGACTCCCCTGAAGAGCTTTTCCCAGACCATCCTCAGTGGGGGGTTTAATTTAAATTTTAAGTCGAACTTCAGGCTCCCTGAAAGGCTTTTCCAGATCATCCTCAATGGGGGGGTTAATTTAAATTTTAAGTTGAATTTTAGACTTCCCTGAAAGGCTTTTCCAAATCATCCTCAATGGGGGGTTTAATTTAAATTTTAAGTTGAACTTCAGCCTCCCTCAAAGCCTTTCTCCAGGTTGTCCTCCCCGGTTTTAATTGCCCTTTTAAAACTCCCCAAATCCCCACTCTGAGAAGGGAAACCCCCCCACCTTGAGCTGCTTCTCCCACCACAACCCCGCTCTCCCCTCCCACCCAGGGGGGGACAAAACCCCCCCTTTTTTCCCAGCCCAAACCGGTACCTTGATGATCTCCTCGTCCCCCTCGTTGGACTTGACGCACTCCGAGGCCAGGGCGTGCCCGTTGCTGGATTTGTTGGCCACCATGGCGTAGGCTTTTCCCACCGGCTGGGGGGTGGAATTTCCTGATCAGTGAATCCCAAAAATCCCGCTGCCCATCCCGGAATTCCCAAAAAAAAAGCTGGAATTCCACCCACCTTCTGCTTCGCCTGCTCGCGCCGCTCGCCCGGCAGCTCATGGGGCAGCGTCAGCCGCAGCACCTTCACGCTCTCCTGCAATTTAGAGGTTCGGTTTTGCAATTTAAAGGTTCCATTTTTCCAATTTAAAGGTTAGTTTTAGGTGTAAGTCGGGCTTTTGGCTCCCTGGAGGTGGTTTTTTTATCCCCCCACCCCTCCAGGTTGATGTCACACAAGCTGTTCCCCCCTCCTGAGCTGGGGACTGCAGAGTGGATCCTGATGGGATTAAAGGGGTGGATCCTCCTGGGATTAAAGGGGTGGATCCTGCTGGGATTAAAGGGGTGGATCCTGCTGGGATTAAAGGGGTGGATCCTCCTGAGATTAAAGGAGAGGATCCCGCTGGGATTAAACAAGTGAGTCCTGCTGGGATTAAACAAGTGAGTCCCACTGGGATCAGAGTGAATCCTGCTGGGATTTGATGAGTGAATCCCACTGGGATTAAAGGAGCGATCCAGGACAAGGCCATGGATCCAACCTCCTGGGGACTGGAGGATCCAAGGCTGAGTTGATCCAAGGCCAGGCTGGACAGGGAGTTTGGAGCAAGCTGGTCCAGTGGAAGGTGTCCCTGGCAGAGGGGTTGGAACTGGGTGGGCTTTTTTAAGGCCCTTCCAACCCAAACCATTCCACGATCCCACAATCCCAAGAGGCGTGCCATGAGAGGTGCCCCACACCCAGCACCCAGCAGGACTTCAGGTCTGGACCACCTAAAGGTGGGTGCTTCTTGGCACCCCAAAAAACGCTCCGAGCCCCTTCCCCCCACCGACGGATCCCGCTCCCGGCCCTCGGGAAGGACCCCAAATCCCGGAGCTGCTCCGTGGATCCCTGCCCTGGGATCGCGCCTGGGCCACGCCTGGGCCACGTCACCCCCTCCAAAGGCACCGGCCGGCTGCTCCCGCCTCCCTCTTCCAAGGCTTCTCCAAGTCTCAACAAGCCGAGTTTGTTTCCCAAATATTCAAATCCTGGCTCTGATGGATCTCACCGCCAGGTCCCTTCCATCCCTCCCCCTTGTTTATCCCGGGAAAGCTTCGCTCGGGATCTGCTCCCGCTCGCCGACATCAAACCGTTTTTAACCGGATGCTGCCGGGCAGGTTTTCCTCCAGGGAATGTTTTCCCGGGGCAAAGTCGGAAAAATTCGGGCGGGAAGCCTTGGGAGCAGCCGGGTTAGGAACACTCTGTGGGTTTGAGGGGATTCTGGGGGGGGGTTTGGGGAGATTTTGGGATTTGAGAGGGTTTAGGGAAGGTAAAAGGCTCAGGGCACCACTCAGCATCTTCCTGCTGCCAGAATCCAATGGGATTCCTTCCTCTCCTGCCTTTGTTTACAAGCACCAGGATCCCCACATTCCCAATCCCATCGAGCCTCCAAGGAAACCTCCTCTCTCCCAGGGAAAGATTCCCCCTGATAAAGGAACAAGCACCCAGCGATTTCCATCCCTGCAGCCAAAACTTCCCGGGGCCCCCGGCACGTGGGTGCTTCCCATCCCCAAAAAAAAAAAACCCCCCAAACCTGCTCCTGGATTAAACCCACCACGCAGCCCCGGCACTAAACCCGGCACTAACTTAAAACCAGCACCAAAGCCCGGCTCGACCAACCAGGAAACCACCCATGCAAATCCCAGCTCCATCCTCCTCCAGGCTGGTTTTAGGAGAAGCAGCTGCTCCCAGTGCCAAGCTGGAGCTTCCCCAGGTCCCAAATCCCGCCGGGATCAGATCCATAGGGACTCCTGCCCCGCTCCCGTCCCTCCTGCCTGGCCTTAAATCCAACACTCAGCTCCCGCTTCCAGCCCTGGAGCGGAGGGGGAGGTGGATTTGGGGCCTCCTCCATTATTTTCCAGGGAAGCAGGAGAGTTTTCCAAGGTGCTGGGAAGACAGTGGAGTGCCCCATGCTTGGCAAAACCCATCTTGGATGGAAAATCCTTCTTTAACCACCCCCCAGCTGTGCATCCCAGGAGTTATTCCAGCCTGGCCGTGTGTGTGTGTTTACAGATTTCACTCGGGAATTAACTGGGATGGGAAGAGTTTGGCCAGGTCAGGGTTGCAGGGAAGCTCCAGCAGCTGGAGGTTTTTCGGCAGGAAACTCCTGCCCAGCACCCTTCGAGGAGGCATTCCCAAAATCCCGCTGGCCCAAACACCCACAAGAGCTGAATCCCGTGGAAATGAGGACAGCTGGGAAGGGGATTTCAGGAACTCCGAAGCCGACTTTAAAAATATTTCGGCCTCTTTTGCACCACCCAACCCAACCCGGCTGGGGAAAGAGGGAACCCCACGAATCCCAACCACATCCCGGGCCCCACGGCCGGCGATCCCAAATGTTTTGCAACCCTCGGGAAGGTCCGTCCGTCTGTCTGTCCCGCCCGGAACAGGCCTGACCTGAGCTAGGGGGGGGTTTAATCTCCGAGGGATCAGCAGCCGGAATTTTGGGGATCGCCGGCGCTGGGAGCCTCTCTTATCTCCCCAAACCCCATCAACCACCGAGCCCAACGCCGCGATCGCTCCTTATAAGGCCGGGAAAAGCTGCCGGGAATGAGGACTCTCCTAAAGGAGACTCAGAGCTGAGTCACCCGCGGAGCCGGCACGGGGCAAGGCGGCCCAATTCTCTTTTCGGGGGGGATCCCTCCGGCCCCCCTGCCCCTCCAAAACCGGGCAGCTCTCCCGGGCACCGCCGCCGGCTTTGCCCCATCCCCGGCGATCGGGGCGCCAGGACGGCGCGGGGCCGGTTTTGGGGCGCCGCCAGCCCCACCCAGGGCCCGTCCCGGCCGCGGACGGCGCCGGGGAAAACCCGAGGACGAGGAAGAGAAAAATCGGGAGGATTTCGCTCAAAGAGAAGCGGGGGAAGGAGCCGCTGCCGGTTGTTCCCATCGCCCCCTCTCCACCGCCACCACCCTACCCTCCTGGGAGCCGCTGGAGGGGCGCGTTACCCCCACAAAAGGAGGTTTTTTGGGGCCGGCCCGATGGCTCCACGGCACCATGTGCCGGCCGGCATTCCCGGGATCCGTCTGGAAGCGCCGCCCGGGATCTCTCCCCGAGCGCGGCGGGGGAAGGCGGGACCTCCCCCCATTCCCTGCGAGTGCCGGGGGGTCCCTCGGGGGTCGCTCGGGGGGATGGTGGGCGCAACCCCGACCTCCCCCACGGGGGAAGGCGGGACCGCAGAGCCCCCCGTGGACCCCACGAAGCCCCGCAGGGCGAGGGGGGTGGATCGGGCAGCGCTCCCCGGGGCCGGGGGCGGGGCACCCACATCCCCCTCCCCACCGAGAAGTCCCGGGAGGGGATCGGGAGCGATCGGGGGCGGTCCCGGGGGTCGTGGGGAGGGGATCCCGGGGTGGGGGGTCCTTACCGGGCTCTCGCCGTGGGGTCGCACGTCCAGCACCGCGCACCAGCCCTTCAGCCCGTTCATGGCCCCGCCGAGACTGCCCGGCCGCGACCCACGGCCCGCCCGCCTATAGGGGACACACCCACCCACGGGGGACACGCCCACCCACGGGGGACACGCCCAGCACAGGTACCCGCCCGTGGGGGTGGCCACGCCCACAGGGTTTGGTCACGCCCACCCGTGACGGCCGCGCCCGTCGCATCCCCAGGTGACAAAGGCCGGGTCCGGGTGTGCCAAAACCGCGCTGAAACCGCGCCAAAAGTGTGCCAAAAGAGCGGTCCAGCAACGCCAAAGCCGTGCCCGGCCATGCCAAAGCTGTGCCACAGCTGTGGCAGTGCCGTGCTGTGCCCATGACCAGCCCGGCTGTGCCAAACCCGTGCCAAAGACATCCAAAGCCCCACCAAAGCAGTGCCAATGCCAGGCCAAGTCACGCTCATCCACACCCAGCCGTGCCAAAGCCACGTTTAGCCCGGCCAGGATGTGCCAAATTCACCTCGAGCCGCGACAGAGCTGGGCCAAAGCCCCGTCCAGCCGTGCCAAAGCCATGACAGAGCTGTGCTGAGCCGTGTCAAAGCCATACCCAACCGTGCCAAGGCCGTGCCAAGCCAAACCCCTCCGTGCCCAGCCGTGCCAAAGCCATTCCAACCCACCCCAAGCCCCTCCATCCCCCCTCCCCCGAGCCCTGTCCCCCTCTCCGGCCTCACCAAACCAAGCTGTGCGGGTCGTGGGGATGCCAGTGCCGTGCCAAACCGCGCCGAGCTGTGCCAAGGCGCCCCAAACCGTGCCAGGGACCGGCCCCCCACATCCCGGGGCCGTTTGGCACCGGGGGGCCAGCCCGGCGTGCCCACCCACGGGCTCAGCCGCCACATCCCGTGTCCCTGCCCGTGTCCCCGCGCGGCGCGGGTGGCCCGGGAGTGTCAGCCCGTCGTCCCGCGGGCGGTAATTGCCGCATAGCCGTGCGATGAGCTCAGCCGGCCCCGGGCTCGGCAGGGCCGGGGCCACGTTCCAGCCCCGTGCGGTCACCGGGGCCACGCTCCGGCCCCGGGCTGGGGACACGCTGGGGACGCCCCGGTTCGACCCGACCCGGCCCGGCCCGGCGGGGCTTTGGGGAAAAGCGGGATTGGCTGTGGGATGGAGGATGTGGCTCCCTCGGGGCCGGCAAAGCCAAGAACCGCCAAACTCCGGCCACGCTCCGCCCTGGCAGTGCCACAACCGCGCCACCTCCTCCCTGCGGGCACCCCTGAGCCCCCCAAGGAGCTCCGCAGCGCCCACGGGGGACACCGAGGCACGGAGCCGCCACCGGGCACCCCGAGGCACAGGGTGTGGCCCGCGGGTGACCTCGTCCCCGCCACGCGTGGCCGGGAGGAGCCGAGGGCGGCAGGACCGGTCGTGCCGGTCCCGGGGCAACCGCAGCGGGGCCGCCGTGGGCGCGGGGCGGGTGCCCGAGGGGTGGAGTTTGGGGGGGACGGGACGCGGTGAGAAGGCCAGCGCTGGGCAGGAAGGGGGTGGGGGGGTGGCACTGGTGGCACCGTGTCATTCCTTCCCCACCGGATGCATCCCGAGTAAACAGCGCCGGGATTTGGGAAGGGAAGCTGAGGCAGCCACGCCGGGTTTGGCGGGGTGTCCCCCCCCACCCCACCCCACGGGCTCGGGGACGGTGCCAGCTCGGCCCCGCTCGAGGCCACGAGGGGAACTGCGGGAAGCACCTGCCAATCAACGCTAATTAGCAACTGGCAGGGCTCCCATGCTCGTTAATTAGCGATAACAAGGGTTTATCTCCAGGCCAGACGAAGCAGCGGAACCACGAAGGTTCCCCGGGCCCCGCACGGACCACGAGGCGTTAAAATGCGGGGGTTTATTTAAAACAGCGCTTGGGGGGGGGGCTGCATAGAAAAATAAACCGGGGTGACCCCACCCGGGGGGGGTCCCCAGATACCCCCACGGGACCCTGAACCCGGGGGCCATGGTGTCCTGGTCACCCAGGCCACAACAGGGACGGTGAGCAGGTCCCCCCCAAACCCCCCAAAACCGCGGTGCAAACACGCCCTGAGACCCGTACGAAGATAAAGAGCTGAGAACAGTGTCCATGGGGGGGATCCCCCAGGGGGTTCCCACCCCTCCTTCCTTCATGCCCTTGGAAGAGTTTCTCCTCGAGCAGCAGCAGCAGCAGCAGCAGCAGCAGCACCCACGGCTGACCCGAAGTTGTCAGCAGGAGCTGGTTTGGAGGTTGGGCTCGTTGAGCAGGGAGGCGATGGAGGAGGGCCCGTAGGCGCTGTCGAACTCCTCGTCCGAGCTCAGCTGCTCGTCCTGCAGCGAGGAGTCGGCGGCCGAGCGCGCCGCTTTGCGCCTGGAGAGGGGACAGAAAACCGGGCTCAGCCCTCTCTCCCCTCCCCTCCCCTCCTCCTCCTTCCCACGGATCCCGGCTTTTTGGGGCCCCAGCTTCCCTACCAGGCCTCCTTCTCCAGCGCCTTGACGCGGTTCTGCAGCTGCTCGTTGAGCTCGTGCTGCTCCTCCAGCTCCCGCTGCGCCTTTTTCCGGGCGCCTTCCAAGCGCTCGATCTCCTCCTCGGCCTCGTCCACCTGGCGCTTCAGGGCCTTCACCCGCAGGCTCAGCTGTGAATCCCGCAGGATTAGGGGCGGGGAGGGGTCGTCCCCCTTCGTCCCCAAGCCCCTCAGCAGCTCCCAGGGGGTCCCATCCCGTCCCCGCCCCAACCTGGTCCTTCTGGTTGCTGACGTTCTGCCGCTCGTCGTCGATCTGGATGGTGAGCTCCTTCACCTTCCTCTCCAGCTTGCGGTTGGAGGAGAGCAGGGCGTTCTTCTCCCTGTGGGAGAGCGAGCAGGGGTGGATTGGCCCCCGCTAATTTAGGGAAGACACCCCCTAAAATTGGGAATTCAACCCCCCACCACCACCCATCCAGTACCTCTCCTCTGCCTGCAGCTGGTCCTGCAGCTCCTCCAGCCGCGCTTCCAGCTGGGAAATGTTGCTGCTGGGCCTGTGCTGCCCCTCGGAACTGGCCAGGCGGTTCTTCAGCTCCTTGTTCTGCAAAATTCACACCCCACACCCCCCAAAATTATCCCTGGCACCCCCCCACCCACCCTTCCCTCCCCACCCCCTCCTCCTGGCTGGGTGGGGAAGCTCCCAGGCCTGGCTTATGTAAAGCCAGCGGTGAGTCAGGGCCCAGCAAGCCTTTTCCAAGGAGGAGCCGTCACCAGCAGGGTTATATAACAGCAATTAACGTGTTGGCACTGGCCTGGGCACGAGGAGAGGCCGGAGGGGACCGGGAGATACCGGGATATACTGGGATATGCTGGGGTGTTACAGCCCTGTGATGCTCATCCCCCTTTACCTCCCCAATTCCTGCTCCTAAGTCCTAAAAATTCCACCCCTTCCCCACAAATCCCCCCCTTTCCCCACAAATCCCAGCTGCTGGGTGTCAACAGGAGCCCCATGTTTTTCTTGGAAGTGGCAATTCCCCAGTGGGAACAGGAAGAGCTCGGAGAGGTCGATCCCCAGCTCGTTGGGAGCACAAATTCCGGCAGGAGGGTGGGAAGCACGGGGGGGAAGGAGGGAATTCCACAGGGAAAGGCACTCTGGGAGGTGGCAGAAAGCTCCAAGGGTGGGCAATGGGAATCACAGAATCACAGAATTAAGTGGGTTGGAAGAGACCTCCGAGATCATCAAGTCCAACCCTTGATCCAACCCCAAGGGATGAAGGATGGGACAAATCCAGAGCGTGGAGGAGGAATCATTTTCCAGCAGGGAAAGCTCCTTGGGAACACGGCCTCCCTCCCTCCCTCCCTCCCAGGGATGCTCCAAGATGCTTTTCCCCAGTCCCTCACTGGACAAAGGGCCCATCCAGCTGTTCCCAGGCCCCAGGGAGAGCCAGTGCTGGATCCAGCTGGATCCATCCCTCCCTCCCTCCCATCCATCCCTACCTGCCGCTCCAGCGACACCTTGTCACATTCCAGGTCCTGCCGGCTGGAGCGCTCCTGGAGCAGCTCTGCCCGCAGCTGGTCGATCTGGGAACAGGGACATCATTCCAGGTTGGATTTGCCACACCCTTTGCCAGCTTTTTTACCCCCCTGTCAGAGCCTGAGGGGGAGGGAATTGCCTTTCCAAGCCCCAGGCTGGATCCCTGAGGGGCAGGAGGGTGACAGGCCATAGGAAGAGCTGCCAATTCCTGGGATCCTGGTAAATCCCAGGAGGCTCCAACAGCTCCAGCTTTGAGGGAATGAGCAGGTGGGGTCAGACAGAGGGAAAAATCCTGGATTTAAGCGGATTTAAACGCCAACTTCCCCACCCAAACCCAAATCTCACCTCGTAATTTCTGGGAATTTCTTTTGGATTTGTTTTTTTCTGGGAATTTCTTTGGGATTTTTTTTTCCCCCCCTAAACTCACATAATTCCCATTCAGCTCCAAGCTTTTCCAACGCCATCATTCCCATTGCATTCAGTGTCTCGTTAACGGGGTGTTAATTCCAGTGTTATTCCCGAGTTATCCCGAAGATTCCCGAGTTATCCCGGCTCTTCCCGCCCTACCTGGTCCCTGCTCCGGTTGACCCTCTCTGTCAGCAGCTCCACCGTGCTCCTCTCCTCATCCAGCTCCACTTCCAGCCGCTTGGACTTCTCCTGCAGGAAGATTTGGGATGAGAAAAGAAGCTCGGTCTGAGTCCACGGAGGGAACGGGAAGCAGGAAAGGCGCAGGAATTCCGGAGGAAAGGGATCTGCTCCAGAAACGCTTCCAACTTGGAAAGATCTGATGCATCCCAGGGATTCAGGAGAGGGGAAATGCTGGGATGTGAGGCACAGCAGCACCCACCACCCGCGGGGAGGGGGAGAAACCCCCACCGAGCCCTGGGGTAGCACCGGGAAGAGCCGGGAAAAGCGGCAACCGATAAACATCGGGAATACCATCCCATCCCAGCACTTCCAGGCGGCAGGAACGACGGCCTGGGCCAGCTCTGCCCCTTGCTGTCAGCACCGAGCACTGCAGGGCCAGGAAGGGGAGCAGGGGGGAGGGATTTTTGGGACACTCTCCCAACCTCCAGCGCCTTGAGGTGGCGGGAGCGATCGTCCTGCGAGCGCTTCCTGGCCTCCATCTCCTGCTCCAGGTTGTGCAGGCGCTGCAGCAGCACCTCCTTGTCCAGCAGGACGTTGTCCCGCTCGGCCTGGCTCTCCTGCAGCGCCTGCTTGAGCCGGGACACCTGCGGGGAAGGGGCGTTCCCGAGGTGAGGAAAAGTGGGATGGGATGGGATGGGATGGGATGGGATGGGATGGGATGGGATGGGATGGGATGGGATGGGATGGGATGGGATGGGATGGGATGGCCCTGCCTCCCCCCTCAGAGCCCAAACCTCGTCCTGCAGCCGCCCGAGGCTGAGCTGCATCTTCTCCACCTCGGCCCCGCGGTCCTTGGCCTGCTTTTGGGAGTCCGTGATCTCCCTCCGCGATTTTTCCTTGAATTCCTCCAGCTGCGACCTCAGCGCGCCCAGGGAGCTCTGGGACTCCGCCGTCATCTGCTCCAGCTGCGGGAGGAGGGGGATGGTGTGGACGGCTCAGGAATCCAGTCCTGAGGTGTTGGAACTCCAGGTGGGAGAAGAATCCCACGGGAAAAGGGGGGCAGGGCTTGAGAATGTCACAGAACCCCCCCGTGGGGCTTGGGAAGGTTTGGGAAGGTTTGGGAAGGTTTGGGAAGAGAAGGGGAAAGGAAAGGGCAATGGGAAAGGGAAAGGAAGGAAGGGAAAGGGGAAGGGAAAGGGGAAGGCGAAAGGAAGGAGAAGGGGAAGGGAAAGAGGAAGGGGAAGGGAAGGTTTAGGAAGGGAGGTTTAGGAAGGGAAAAGAAGAGAAAGGAAGGGAAGGAGAAGGAGGAGAAGGAGGAGAAGGAGAAGGAAAAGGAAAAGGAGAAGGAGAAGGAGAAGGAGAAGGAAAAGGAAAAGGAAAAGGAAAAGGAAAAGGAGAAGGAGAAGGAAAAGGAAAAGGAAAAGGAAAAGGAAAAGGAAAAGGAAAAGGAAAAGGAAAAGGAAAAGGAAAAGGAAAAGGAAAAGGAAAAGGAAAAGGAAAAGGAAAAGGAAAAGGAAAAGAAGGAAAGTTTTCAAGCAGCCCCGGGAGCCCCAACCTCTCTGTTGAGCTTCTCGGTGGTGCGGTCCAGGAGCCGCTTCTGCTCCTCCAGCTCGTTCTTGGAGCGCTTGAGCTGCTCCTTCTGCCGCTGCTCCTCCTGCAGGGACGAGCTCAGGTCCTGGTGCTCCTGTGCCAGCCGTGCCAGGCTCCTCTCGGCCTCCTCCAGCCGCGTCTCCAGGGACCTCTTGGCCAACAGCAGCTCCTGCTCCCGCTCCGTGGCCTCTCCCAGCGACTCCTCCATGTGCCTGCGCTCTGCCTGCGAGGAAAGGAGCCTTTCCAGCCCCTTCCCCGAGCTGGGAAGAGCCCAGGGAAGCTCAGGGGAACGCCACAAATACCTCCAGTTTGGTGACCTTCTCCTTGAGCCGCGCCTGGGAGCCCTCCCAGTTCTCTCCCAGGCGCTCGTACTCCTTCAGCTGCGTCTCCATGCCCAGGAATTTCCTCCTCAGGTCGTCGTTCTGCTCCTGCACTTCCCGCAGGCTGCCCTCCACCGCCTTCCTCGCCTGCTCCGACGCCTCCCGGGCGCTCTCCAGGGACGCCTTTGCCTGGAGTGGGATCATCCAGGGGGGTTCATTGGGGGTGCATCCCTTGGGATAAGCCAACAGCTCCCAAACCTTTCCCCTCCCCTGGGGAGGGGCCTGGGATCATCCAGGTTGCTCTGGCAGGTTTGGGGGTTTGAGGTTTGTCCCACCATCCCATAGCTGAGAAATTTGGGAAGGATTGAGGCAGGTTTGGGGGCTTGAGGGTTGTCCCACCATCCCATAGCTGAGAAATTTGGGAAGGATTGAGGAAGATTTGGGGGCTTGAGGGTTGTCCCACCATCCCATAGCTGAGAAATTTGGGAAGGATTGAGGAAGGTTTGGAGGCTTGAGGTTTGTCCCACCATCCCACAGCTGAGAAATCTGGGAAGGATTGAGGCAGGTTTGGGGGTTGCAGGTTTGTCCCACCATCCCACAACTGAGAAATTTGGGAAGGATCAAGGCAGGTTTGGGGGAGCTTGAGGTTTGTCCCACCATCCCACAGTTGAGAAATTTGGGAAGGATCGAAGAAGGTTTGGGGGCCTTGAGGTTTGTCCCACCATCCCACAGCTGAGAAATTTGGGAAGGATTGAGGCAGGTTTAGGGGCTGCAGGTTTGTCCCACTATCCCACAACTGAGAAATTTGGGAAGGATCGAGGCAGGTTTGGAGGTCTTGAGGGTTGTCCCACCATCCCACAGCCACGAAATTTGGGAAGGATTGAGGCAGGTTTGGGGGCTGCATGTTTGTCCCACCATCCCACAGTCACAAAATTTGGGAAGGACCGAGGGGAACCGCTCCCCATCCTGCGGCTTTTCCCGGTGCTCACCTTGGCGGCCTCGTCCCGCTCCTCCTGGAGCCGCTGCAGGTCCCTGCGGAGCCGCTCCAGCTCCTCATCCCGGTCGGATTCCTTGTCCCTCAGGGCCCCCCTCAGCGCCAGCAGCTCCCGCTCCCGCTCCCGCAGCCGCTCCTCCCGGCCCTGCCGCTCCTCCGCCAGCTCCCGCCGCGCCTCCCGCACCTCCCGCAGCTCCTGCACAGGGGCACGGGGAGGGGTCGGGGTGCTGGGCACGGTCCCTGGGCTGGGGGGGACCCTGTCACTCGTCCATTTACCTTCCTGAGGGCCTCCAGCTCCTCGGGATCGGCGGTGCTGCTCCGGGCCTGATCGGCCTCCTCGCGGGCGGCCTGGAAGCGCTCCCGGAGCTCCCGCAGCTCCTCCTCGAACTCCTCCCGCTCCAGCTTCACCTGCAGCAGCCTGGGGAGGGGCAGGGTGAGGCCAACAAATGTCCCAAACCCCCGCTGCCATCACCCTTCCTCCTCCTGAAACCAGGCGAGGAGGAGGAGGAAGAACCAACCCCATCCCCGCTCCTGACCCGTTCTAACAGGATTTGGAGTAAAATTCCTGGACAGTCCCGAGCAGATGGACCTCCCCAAGAGCTCCTGGTGGCTGGTCTCTGGCTCAGCCACAGCTGAGCAACACTTACTCCTGCTTGGTGCTCCTGAGCTCGTCCTTGTTCTTCTGGAACATGTCCCGCCAGTGCCCCGTCTCCTCCGCGCTCTCCTCCAGCTCCCGCTGCAGGTTCCTCACCACCGCGCTCACCTTCTGCCTCTCTGACTCCAGGTTGGCTTTATCCTGCAGGGAAGAACCGCCACGGGATGCTCCAGCCCTGCCCAGCAGGGACAGGACCCAGGGGAGCCCAAAAAAATGAGGCTGGGGAGCCCCAAAACCATCTCAGACCCACCCCCCAGCACCTCCATCCCGGAGCAGATGGATTCTCTGATGGGATGAGCTTGGGGCAAGGACACAGACCCTGTTTCCAGCTCTGGACCGTTTTAAAGGGGGGGATTTAGGGACACCCAGCCCCTCCACAGCACCTCCACCCTGGGGGAGATGGATGCTGCAAGGGGGTGAATTTGGGGCAGGACACACACCCTGTTTCCAGCTCTGGATCATTTAAAAGGGGGATTTAAGGACACCCAGCCCCTGCCCTGAGCCCCCAGACCTGCGAGATGCCCTCCATGCTCCTCCTCAGCTGGTCCATGTCGCTCTGGCACTGCTGCCTGACCCTCTCCAGCTCCCTGTCGTGGGTGGCCACCTCCTCCTTGAGGGCCCCCTTGAGCGCCGTCAGCTCCCGCTCCCGCAGCCGCAGCTGCTCCTCCTGCCTCTGCCGCGAGCTCAGGGCCTCCTCCAGCTCCTCCCGGGCCTCCAGCAGCTCCTGCAGGGCCAGGAGGAGGGGGCTGGGTGGGTGGCATGGAGGGGAGGGGGACATTCACCCCCCACTGAGGCCAGCAGGCTGTACCTTGTACAGGGATTCGGCGTCCGGGGAAGCTCCCGAGCTCTGGCGCAGCCGCTCGAGCTCCCGGCGCGTGGCCAGGAGCTGCTCCTCGCAGTCCCCCAGCCGGCTCTCCACCTGCTCCTTGGAGGATTTCACCTCCTTCAGCCTGGGAAATGCCGTGGGAACTCTCAGGGACCTGCTCTAGGGCAGCTCATCCCGGAATGAAAACAAGGTGGGGGGAACAATGACCTCCCACCATCAGCATTCCCACCCCTGGGACAGACAGACAGACACCCTCACCCCATGGACAGACAGATCCCCCAACATCCCCCTCAGGGTAGCTCTTACTCCTGCAAACTCCTCTGCAGCTCCTGGTTTTTCTTCTCCAGAGCCCCCCGGAGCCGCTGGGTCTCCGTTTCGGCCTCCCGGAGCCGGGAGGGGCCACCGGGCAGCTCCAGCTTCTGGCGGAGCTGTGGGAGGAGGGGGACACTGGTGACAGCCCTTCCTGGGGGGATCCTGACCCACTCCCCACCCCGGGTAGGGCATCTGCTCCCCAACACCCCCGAGACCACCCAGCAGGGAAATCAGGTTCGGTCTCACCCAGCATCCAAGTGAAAGGGGGGGTCAGAGCAGGGCCCTGTTGTGCCTCCCCTCACCCAGGGATGTAATCTGGGATCCCAAATCTCCTCCAAACCCCCCCCCACACACACAACCTGCTCGGCCTCACCTTGGTCTCCTCATCCAGCTTCTCCTGCAGCTCCTCCACCTTCCTGGCCAGTTCCCTGTGCTGGGGTTGGGAACACGCCATGTCCTTGGGGGGCACCTGGAGAGACGCCCCGGGGCTCACTCGGTGGGTTTGGGGTGCTGCAACCCCCACCCCAGAACCACCAGGATCCCCCTGGAGGGGCTGGGGGACCCCCAGGAATGGAGCAGCACCGGGATGGCCTCGACTCACCGCCAGCTCCTGCATCTTCTCCAGCAGCCGGGCGGTTTTCCTCTTCAGGGAGATTTCGCTCTCGCTGCTCCTGGGGGTGTTGGATTTGTGGGAAGCATTTGGGAATGAGGGCGATGGGGTGACCTTGTCCCTTGTCCCAGTGCTTTGCTGCTCACTCCCCCTCTCTCCCAAAATTCTGAGCTCAGGGGCATCCCCGCTCCCAAATCATCCCCCCCCCCATCCCAGCCACAGCCAGTGGGGCTTTGGGAAAGGGGCAGGGAATGATGGGGCACTCAGGGGGCTCTGGAGGGGGTCCTGGGGGGCTCACCCCTCCTTCAGGATGCTGTAGATGAGCTCCTTGGGGTGTTCACTGCTGCCAGGCTGGGCCACCTCCCGCTGATCCCGCAGCAGGTCCGGGGTGGATTTGAGCTGCCGAGAGGGATAAAAAAGCTCAGCTCCAGCCAGGACACGAATCTCCCCAATCCAGAGGATTAAAGGATCCAGGCCCCACCTCCCCATACCTGCAGCTCTGCCCGGGCTTTGCTCTGCTCCTCCGCGGCCCGAATTCCCCGCTGGATCTTCATCCCTTCCCCCTCCATCCCCGCGGATCCACGCGTGGGGCTCCGGCTGCCGCTGGGCCCCGAGGGCTGGGGGCGAGTGCCGCGGGTGTCCGGGACATCCCGGTGGGCCACGCGGCCGTCCAGGCTCTGGGAGCGCTTCCTCTCGGCCGAGGGGATGCGGCCTCTCCTGGCTGCCCTTCCCCGCTGCTGCTGCACCTTCCCGTCGAACTTGCTGATCAGCGAATCCACCGAGGACAGCGGCTTGGTGTCCACGTCCCCGCCGGCCACCTCCGTGTCCGAGCAAGGCTCCTTTCCCGCTGCCCTCGTGGTTTTGTGCCCCGGGGCGATGCCGCTCTTCCCACCGGCCAGGGCCCGCTGCTGCTGCTGCTGCTGCTGCTGCTGCTGAATCCCGGGAATGCCGCCGGCCGCGGGCTCGTCCCCGGTGGCGCTGAGCAGGTCCCCGTGGGACTGTGTCCTCCGCAGCTCCTCGCCGGCCACCCGCCTGCCCGCCGCGGCTTGGGGGTCCCGCCGGGAGCCCCCCGAGCCCCCCGGAGCCTCCTCATCCGAGGTGCTGTAGGAGCCGTGCCGGATCTGCCGCCCCGCGTAGGGATTCTCCGGCAGGTCCGAGTCGGAGCTGACGGAGCCCGAGGGCCAGGGGGGGCTCGGGTAGGACCCCTCGCTCTTGATCTGCACGCCGAAAGACTCGCCCCCCTTGTCGCCGCTGTTGAGCACCACGAAGGGCTGGCCGGCGATGCCCTGGACCCGCACGGCCACGCCGTAAGAGCCGGGCTTGCCCCGCGGCTTCGGGGGTCTGCGGGGCTCCTGGAGGTCGTTGATGAAGCGGATCTGCACGCCGTAATCCACGGGGCTCTGCTTCTCCATCCCCGCCGGCCGCTCCATCCCCGCGGGCTCGGCGGTCCTGGGGGACGCAGAGAGGAAGAAGGGGTGAGTATTCCCGGCTCGCAGGAGGGTCGGGCAGCGCTTTCCCGGCGGGACGGGAGCCAGAGGACACGCGGTGCCAGCGCTGCGGCGTCCCCAGGACAGGACGGGGACGAGGATTTGCTGTGCCAGCACCGGCAGCGCTCGGCTGCTCGCGGGGGGGACGCTGGGGACGGCGAAACCCCCGCGCCGCACCCGCAGCATCCTCGCCGGAGCCTCCCCCCGGCTCGTCCTGCCCTTGGCGGGGGGATGCGGGGGGAAGCCGCGATCCCGCGGGCTCCGCGGCCGGGCTCGGCTGCCGCTGCATTCCCGGTTTTTCCGCAGCCCGGCCGCAGCTCCGGGGGCCCCTCAGCATCACCCCCGGCGCCCCGCGGGGCCCTCGTCCCGTGGGGAGGGGACAGAGATGAGCAGTGACATATTGGGAACAGTGTGATGGAACCCTCCCCCTCGGTCCCGGGGCGATGCCGGACCCACAGGGACCGGCAGGAGCGGAGGAGGAGCGGGATTGGGGAGGGGGGGAGCTCCCAAATAGACACCGGAGGAGCGGGGGGAGGGGGGGAGTGATGGAAATGCCCCAAATCAGCCCCAAATCGCCCCTCCGTCATGGCGCGACCCCCCCCACCCCGAGGACCGGCAGCTCCTTTCTGTGCCGAAAATAAACCGGGAGCCACACGAGGCGCCCCGAGCCCCGATCACCCCGCAGGGTGTCCCGGTGGGACCCCGAGCCCCGGTGGGGAGGGCTGGAACACCCCCCGAGCGTGGGGATAAACCAAAAAAAGCAACCCCCCCAAACCACACGGTGGGAGTCACCCCCCCACCCCATTCCAGCTGGGAGGCAGGGATGGAGCAGGCATGCGGCTGGAGCAGCGGGATCCCAGCACAGGGATGGGATCTCGTGTCCTTGCATCGCCCCCGAGCCCGTGACTCCTCCTGTGCCCACCCCGGGGGAAGACGGGGCTGGAGCCGCGGGACGCAGCGTTTTCCAGGGACTTTGGATCGGGAGCAGAGCAGGGAAGGACGAGCTGTGGCTCTGCCAGCTCCCCACAGCCCCCCCTCTGCTCCCACCCCCCCAGCCGAACTCGGGGGCAGATCCCTCCGGGATCTGGAATCAACACGAGCCCATTGGGTGTCCCAAATCCCTCCCCAGCGCCAGGAACTGCAGGTGAAGGATCCCTGGAACCCCAGGAATGGCAGGTGAAGGATCCCTGGAACCCCAGGAATGGAAGATGAAGGATCCCTGGAACCCCAGGAATGGCAGGTGAAGGATCCCTGGAACCCCAGGAATGGAAGGTGAAGGACCCCTGGAACCCCAGAAATGGCAGGTGAAGGATCCCTGGAACCCCAGGAATGGAAGGTGAAGGACCCCTGGAACCCCAGGAACTGCAGGTGAAGGATCCCTGGAGCCCAGGAATGGCAGGTGAAGGATCCCTGGAACCCCAGGAATGGAAGGTGAAGGATCCCTGGAGCCCCAGGAACTGCAGGTGAAGGATTCCCAGAGCCAGTACAGGGGTTGGGAGCAGAATCCTCATCTCCTGAGCTCGTTATCCTTGCCCGGTGTCGGGATAAGGAGATCAGGACCTGACACCAATCTGGAAACCACCACCCCCTCCCTCTCCCTGAGCCCCTAAATCCCATCAGAGCCACCCCAGCCCCTCCAGCTGGGAGGAGCAGCACGGGCACCAACCTGCAGTGGGAAACCTGGGGCTGGGAAGCGGCTTTGGCACCGGACTCAGAATATTCCATGGCCGCCGGTGTCCAAAGTGCAGCCGGTGACGAATCCCCGGCACCGGGCGGGGAGAGGGCTCAGCCCTCTCACCTGGATTGGGGTGGGAACTGGGAGAGCTCTGGGTGCAGCTCCCGGCTCAGGGAGACCTTTGGATGGGCGGTGAGGGCCGGCACAGCATCATCCCACAGCCAAGGCTCCGTCCCACCATCCGGCCTGGCACGGGTGGGAAGCAGGTGGTGGAAAACCACGGGGGTCGGACACAGTCGGGGATGGCACTGGGCTCAATCCCAGCTGGCCAGGAGGATGATCCACTTTTTTTTTTTTGTTTTGTTCTCCCAAGAAACCACAGGGAGAGGCTTTGCCCTCCCCACCTGAGCCGAGATGCACCGTTTGGGGGGCTCTGGGCAGCGCTCACGAGGAGGGGGGAGCTGGGAGGGAGCAGGTGAGCCAGGCCCGGTAATCTCCCAGGAATTCCTCCCTCCTTCTGGAAAGGCTCCAGCTCTCTGGCAGATAAAGGGCTGCAGCCGGATCACATTCCTATGTGGGAAAGCAACACCACCCAACTCGGGCCTGGAAACACAGCCCCGGGAGGGGAGTTCACCGCAAACCACAAGGAAGGAGCCGGAAATTGGGGCTAAAAATAGGCTGGGATTTGTCCCCGGGGCGCCACAAAACACCTGAATCCCGGCTCGGGGTGGGCGGGCAGAGGGATGGGGGGGTTCGTGGCAGGGGGAGAGGCCAGTCAGGCACCTCTGGAGTGGCAGAGCCGGGATGGCCCCGAGCCAGCGGCGCTCACAATGAGCCCTTTGTGCCGCCCGACGACAACGTTAACCCAGAAAGTTGTTTTGCAATTCGCAGGCGGGCGCTGGAAAAAGAGGCTGGAGCTGGAAAAAGAGGCTGGAGCTGCCCTGGCTCCCCCCACCACCCAGGGAAGGGTGCTGGGAGCAGGGTATGGGCTGATCCCCAATCCTGAGCCGTGCCCAGGCAGGGAATGGGACCACCAGGCAGCCAGAGCTGAGCAGGGGCCAACCCCAAATCCAGCAGGAACTGCGGGATTATCCCAAACCACTTTCCACACCAGCTGGTTTGGGGCTCCTGGCACCACTCGGGCTGTTTCCATTATCCCAAACCACTTCCAGCCAAAACAGCTGGGTTTTGGCACCCATTTAGGATGTTTTCCATTGAGGTTTTCCCCATCTCGGAGCCAAAGCTGCTGGGTTATCCCAAACCACTTCCAGACCGGCTGGTTTTGGCCTCCAGCCTCTTTTCCACCAGGATTTCCCCCAAATTCCAGCACCTCTGGCTCCCTGTGTTTACCCACGGGGCCAAAGTCCAGGATTTTGGGCAAAGCCATGCCCTGGCACTGGCACCAACCGGCTCTTCCTGCTCTGCCACAACCTTCCAGAGCCTGAAATTCCCAATAAATCCACGTGATCCAGGTCGGAGGAACCCGAAACCAGGGCACCTGCGTCACCAGGGCCGGGTGACAACGGCGGGAGGGGATCAATCACGGTGACAACGGCGAGCTGGCACCGCCCCAGGGGCTGGGACAGGGACATCCAGCTGGGATCGGGGCTGGGATTGGGATATCCAGCTGGGATCGGGGCTGGGATTGGGATATCCAGCTGGAATTGGGACATCCAGCTGGGATTGGGGCTGGGATTGGGATATCCAGCAGGGATCGGGGCTGGCATTGGGACATCCAGCTGGGATTGGGACTGGGATTGGGACATCCAGTTGGGACTGGGACATCCAGCTGGGATGAGGGTTGAGATAGGGACGTCCCCTGGGGCTCCCTCTGAACCGATAAGAGCCGAATTCCTCCACATCCAGCCCGGCCACAGGCAGAGCCCTTCGGGTTAATCATCAACCCAGGGGCTGGAAAATCCCGTTCCTGCCGCTTCCCCGGGAGGGGAAAAAAAAAACAAAAGCCTCGTCGCCGTCCTTCAGGGGTCAGGCCCGTCACCAAAACCACCTCTCAGTTTACACTTTCCGAGCCTTTGAAACCGGAGTTATTCGGACCGGGGAGGGAGCGTGGAACGGGCCCCGGGGGGGGATAACGTGGAGCCCGCAGGTCCCCAAGGGCTGCGGGGCTCTGGTTTCACTCAGATCCCATCCCCTTTTCTCCCCCCGGTAAATCCCGATCCTCAGGCGATGCTGCTGCCAACCCCAAAAAAAGGAGGTTCCTTGCGGCGGGTGAGGGGGTAAAGCCTTATCAGGTGGAGATGGAGAACCCACAGCTCACCCCAAACCAGTTCGACCGGTCCGGGCGATGGGAGGGGATAAAAAAACACACAAAAACACCCTCCCGAACAAAAGGTTGGTGGCAAAAAAGGACGAGGAGGGAGGGGGGGGGACACGTGAGCGGCTCCTTGCGGGAATTAGGGGGGGTTGGATCCGGGCACCCAAAGGATCCCCGAGGCACCCGATGGATCAGGACGGCACCCCAAGCCCTGGATTTTTCCATCTTATTTAAACGAGCTGCTAAAAATACGGGGCAAAGTAGGGCAGCTCCGCACGGCAAAGCTGCGGCTTTCTGGGGATGGGATTCTGGAATTCCAGGGGTGGAGGGAACCAGAATTCCAGGGGGGATCTCCTGCCGGGTCCTAAAGGCTCTTTCCCTCCTCCTGGGATCGGTAGCCCAGGAGAAGCAGCGGGTCCCCCTCTAGGGGGAGGTGCAGGGGAGGCCCCTCCCCAAAAGCGGGGACAATTCCCACAGGGAAAGGCAGGTCCCGCGTGGAATGACAGTGCCTGGAAGGGACAGGGAACGGTGGGTCCTGCAGGGCTTGTAGGGCCAGACAGATCCCCGTGGAACAGGGAGAGTTCACCAGGGCGAGAAGACCCCTATGGGGGCGGCTAAAGGGTCAAGGAGAGGGACTTGTAGGGTCTTTATAGGGCACGGTGCCCCCAAAAGGAGATTCATTCCCATTCAGGCCCAGCCCCTGCAGGATCTGCTGTAGGGCAGGACACACGTGGGGACAGCCCCTGTGGGATCTGTTATAGGGCAGGACACACCTGGGAACAGCCCCTGTGGGATCTGTTATAGGACAGATCGCAGCTCGCCTGGCACCACCAGCCCCTATCCCAGGACAGGGCACATCCCAGGAAGGACAACACCTACAGATCCCCCAGGGGGGCCGGGGCACACACCTGAGACAACAGACCCTGCAGGAGTGACATGGACCCCCTGCCATGGGGCAGGACCCCACATCCTATGGGTCAGGACCCCCCATCCTATGGGTCAGGACCCCCCATCCCATGGGTCAGGACCCCCCATCCCATGGGTCAAGACCCCCTCCCACGGGTCTTGATCCTCTCCCGGATCAACAGGACCCCCTCCCACGGGTCGCCGTGGGTCAGGACCCCCCTCCCGATGGGACAGAAGGGTCGTGACCCCCTGCCATGGGTGGGGACCCTCCTCACCCCTCGCCCCCCCACTCACCTCCCGCCGCTCCCGCCGCCGCCACCGCAACCTGTTACCTTCCCTCAGGCCCCGCCCACCCCGCGCCCATTGGTCCGCGACGCGCCTGGCCCCGCCCATGGGCGTGATCACACCGATTAAACCACGCCCACAACCACGCCCCACTCACCACGTGCTCACCTGGCGCGGCCGCCGCCATCTTGGGGAGGGAGCCGTGAGGAGGGGGGAAAAGCTCCGCCACACACAAGATGGCGCCGAGGCCGCGCCCCTCTCTACGGCGGCCGGGAGGGGCCGCGCTTCTCCCGCCGCGCACGCGCGGAGGCGCCGTGACTAAGATGGAGGCCGGGGCAGCAGCGGCGCCGACACCGCCACCGTTCTGGGCCGGGGGTCCCGCCCCGGGGCAGATCTACATCCCCGGGGGCACCGGGATAGCGCCCCGAGCGGGGACAGGGCCCTCATCCCGCACGCTGTGAGAGCGGGGCGGGCGGAGCGGGCTGGGGGCTGAGGGCGGGGGTCCATGGGGGTCGGGGTGGGAGCTGAGGGGCTGAGGGGGTCCCTGGGGGTGGGGTGGGAGCAGATTGGGGGTGCTGAGGGGGCTCTGGGGGCTCGGGAAGGGATGAGGAGGTGGAGGTAAGGAGGGTCGTGGGGTCTGGGGGCAGAGTTGGGGAGCTGGGGGTGTTGGGGGACCTGAGGGAGGAGAGGAGATGGAAGGAGAAGAGAGTCAGGGGTGCAGAGAAGGGTCTGGGGTGACTGGGAAACTGGGAACGGGGATGGGGGTGGGATCCAAAGGGTGGGAGTGGGGAGATGGGGCAGGGGGATGGTGGAAATGGGGGGGATCTGGGGAGATGGAAGGAGAATGCCTGTGAAGATTCCTGGGCCCTGGGATGTCTGGGGAGACTGGGAATGGGGATGGGGGGATCCAAAGGGTGGGAGTGGGGAGATGGGGCAGAGGGGTTGTGGAAATGCGGGGATCTGGGGAGATGGAAGGAGAATGCCTGTAAAGATTCCTGGGCTCTGGGGTGACTGGGAAAACTGGGAGCAGGGATGGAGGTGGGGGCTCCAAAGAGTGGGAGGGGGAGATGGGGCTGGGGGTGGTGGAAATGGGGGAACCTGGGGAGATGGGGCTGGGGGAAGATGGGGAGAGGCGAGATGGAAGGAGAAGGCCTGTGAAGATTCCTGGGCTCTGGGATGCCTGGGGAGACTGGGAATGGGGATGGGGGTGGGATCCAAAGGGTGGGAGTGGGGAGATGGGACTGGGGGGTGGTGGAAATGGGGGGGATCTGGGGAGATGGAAGGAGAATGCCTGTAAAGATTCCTGGGCTCTGGGGTGACTGGGAAAACTGGGAGCAGGGATCTGGGGGACCCCCAGGCTGGCTGGGGGGAGCTGTGGGGTGATGGGGGAAGCACAAAGAGGGGGGCTCTGCGGGGCTCACCCCCTCCTCTCTCTCTCTCTGTGTCCCTGCCAGGACCCCGATGGTGACGGGCACGTCGGTGCTGGGGGTGAAGTTCGAGGGGGGGGTGATGCTGGCGGCCGACACCATGGGCTCCTACGGCTCCCTGGCGAGGTTCAGGGGCATCTCCCGCATCCTCAGGGTCAACGACAGCACCGTCCTGGGCGCCTCGGGGGACTACGCCGACTTCCAGTACCTGCGGCAGGTCATCGACCAGATGGTGTAAGTGCTGCTGCTGCTCCGGGGGAAAAAATAAAGAGGGATTTGGGGCCGTCTTGGTGGGGTTTTGGGGTGGGGTTGGGGAGGTTGGGAAAGCCTCACCCCTGTGCCCCGTCCAAACCTCAGCCCCGGGGGGGCTTTTGGGGTCGCATTCCTTGGGTTTTGGGGTCACATTCCTTGGGTTTTTGGGGTCGCGTTCCTTGGGTTTTGGGGTCTTGTTTCTTGGGGTTTTGGGGTCTCGTTCCTTGGGTTTTTGGGGTCGCATTCCTTGGGTTTTTGGGATCTCGTTCCTTGGGTTTTTGGGGTCTTGTTCCTTGGGTTTTTGAGGTCTCATTCCTTGGGTTTTTGGGGTCTCATTCTTTGGGCTTTTGGAGTCACATTCCTCAGGTTTTGGGGGTCTCCTCCCTTGGGTTTTTGGGGTCTCCTCCCTCGGGTTTTTGGGGTCACCTTCCTCGGGTTTTTGGGGTCTCATTCCTTGGGTTTTTGGGGTCTCATTCCTTGGGTTTTTGGGATCTCATCCCTCGGGTTTTGGGGTCACATTCCTCAAGTTTTTGGGGTCACATTCCTCAGGTTTTTGGGTCTTATTCCTCGGGGTTTTTTTTTTTTTTTGGGGTTTCCTTTTTCTCCCGGGGTTCAGGATCGACGAGGAGCTGCTGGGGGACGGCCACACCTACAGCCCGCGGGCCATCCACTCGTGGCTCACCAGGGTGATGTACAACCGGCGCTCCAAGATCAACCCCCTGTGGAACACCGTGGTCATCGGCGGCTTCTCCGGCGGCGAGGGGTGAGCGGGGCCGCTCCCTGGGGAAGGGGGGGAGCCAGGGAATGCTCTGCCCCCCCCTGAGCTCTTCCAACCTCCTTTTCCCTGTGCCCTCAGGTTCCTGGGATACGTGGACATGCTGGGAGTGGCCTACGAGGCGCCGACGTTGGCCACGGGGTTCGGGGCCTACCTGGCTCAGGTGGGGGCCGGGCTTTGAGTTCAGCTCAGTTTATTTTGTGATGTCATTTGTTCTGTCGCTTCATTTTGTTCCTTTTCCTCTCAGCCCCTGATGAGGGAGGTCCTGGAGAAGAAGCAGAGCCTGTCCCAGGACGAGGCCCGGGATCTCCTGGAGCGCTGCCTGCGGATCCTCTACTACAGGGACGCCAGGTCCTTCAACAGGGTCAGTGTCCTTTCCCCTGGAGACACCTCCCTGATCCCAGAGTCCCAGGAATCCCTCCTCCAGCCCCTTCCAGACACACCTCCCTGATCCCAGAATCCCAGGAATCCCTCCTCCAGCCCCTCCTGGACACACCTCCCTGATCCCAGGAAAAGGGGGGAGATCCTGAGCTCCAGCAGGTCGGGATCCCCTTTGGGGGTTTCCTTGGATAACTGTCCCATCCCTGCAGCTGTGGCTCCAATCTTTTCCCCCTGGGAATCATTCCAGCTGTTTGGGATCCCGTTTTGGGCGTTTTCTTTGCACAATTCCTGTCCCTGCAGCTGTGGCATCCAGAGTCCCCAATCCTTTCCCTTGGGAATCGTTTCCCACCATCCCCTGTCCCCCTTGCCTGGCCCCATCAACCCATTTTTGGGGACAGTCTCGTTAATTGGGGCATCCCCCCAGGGCCCACCTGGGCTCCAGGTGTGGAATTCCAGGCCCACCTCTCTCCAGGGGTGGAATTCCAGGCCCACCTGGCTCCGGGTGTGGAATTCCAAGGTCCCCACGTCCTCTCTCCCCAGTATGAACTCGCCACCGTCACGGAGAAGGGGGTGCAGGTGGAGGGACCCCTGACCCTGGAAGCCAACTGGGACATCGCCCACGTGGTCAGGTAACGCTCCCAGGGGACATTCCCAGCTGCAGGAATGTCCCCTGATCCCAGGGGAACATCCAGGGGGATTGTCCTGACCTTCCTTCATCCCTTCCTTTCCAGTGGCTCAGAGTGAACTTCCCGGGAGCTGCTCCGAGGTCGCCCCTTTTGTGTCCCACCCACCCCATCCCTGTCCCCCTGGAACGTCTGATCCATGTTTTGGGAATAAAAACAGACCTTTTAAAAACCAGGCTCTTGTGTTGGTGCCTCCCAAAAAAAAAAATGTGGGATCTTCCAAAAATAGGGGGCTTGAGGGAGTCTCGGAGTTCCAGGTGAAGTCCTTGTTTTTGCGGGAATCTTGGAATTGCTGAGGTTGGAAAAGCCCTCTGGGATGGTGGAATCCAAGGGCACCGTCGAGTCCTGTCCACAAATGCCACGTCCAGGTGTCCTTTGGGCATTCCAGAGGGCTGGAATTCCACGGGCCAGCCTTCCCAGGAAGGAATTTTCCCAAATCTCCAACTTAAAATCCCCCTGGAGCAGCTTCAGGGCCAGTGCTGGGCTCCCAAGGATCAACCCAGGTGGGGTCAGGACCCCCAAAATAGCCCAGATTTGCCCCAAATCAAGACTTACACAGAGCAGGTGCTGTGTTATTCCAGCTGGGAATCCGGGAATTCCAGGAAGGCAAAAAGGCTCAGTCCACCTTTAGGAGTCACCTGTGGATGGAAGGAAAACACATCTGGGAAGAGATTTTGTTAAAATCACAAGTTTTTTTGGGGAGGTTCAAAATGACCTCGGGAGGGATGGGGTTGGATCCAGGAAAAAAAAACAGGGATAAAGGGGCCTTCAAATAGGGCTGGATTGGGGCATTTTCAGCTTTACAGGAAAGAAATGAATAATAAAAGCAATGTTGGCTGAACCTTGAGTTTAAAAAAAGGCAATATTTTGGTAAAATGAGGAATTACTAAAGGAGACACGTCAGTAAAATAAGAAACTGTAAAACATGGAATTATTTGAGTAGAATATTGAAATATGTCAGTAAAATAAGGACATAAATCGATATAAAAGTGGTATTTTTTACCAGCACAGAGAACCACCAGTAAATACATTTTCTTCAGGAGAGTTTTATTGACCTTTTTTTTTTTTTTTCGACTTTTTTATTTAAAAAGAGAAGGAAATCTCAGCGGGAAGAGTCAGTCGTGGCACTGGAAAAAAAAAACCTCCTGGAAAAAAAGGGGTGGCAGGGCTGAAAATGAAATTTAAAACTGAATTAAAACCCATCTCTGGGTTCTCCAGGACACGGGAAGGACTCAGAGGGCAAAAGGGGGAAGGGAATTCCAGAGTTGTGGGGAATAAAAACACGTGTTTAGAAATCCATTTCCCTGGTTTTATTAAATGTTCCAACGGCTGTACAATTTTCCAAGCTGAACCATTTACAGGTCTGCACATGCTGCTGCTTCCTGCTTTCCTTAGGGAAAAGAGGGGGAAGGCTCACAAAAACCTCTGGAAACAGAAAGGTGCAGGTGCCTCTGGATTTTGGGATCAGCCCCCTTTCTCTGGTGTGGGGACCCCAAGGCAATTAAAAAAAAAAAAAAAACAAAAACCCTCCAAACATGCAAATTGTAGAAAAAATTGAAGCTGGCAGTGAAAAATAAACCCCAAAATGTTCTTTTGTCGCTGTTGTTGTTGGTTTGTGCACGTCACAGTTTGGTTCCTAAAATCCCGTTTTTTCCTGATCCTGAGGGACCTAAAGCAGGTTTGTCACTGGGGAATGAGGGGGGGGGGATTAAAAGGGGTTTTTTGGGGGGCTCTGGGAGGGAGAGCCAAGAATAATTTGGGTTTTTTTCTCCTCACCCCCTTCCCCCCCACAGTGCCCTCTGTGGGGAATTCTTTGGAGCAAGGCGGGAGAGTTTTCCAGGTGGAGAGGAGGAATCAGCGGGAAAACAGGAGGGTTAATGGGGTGGGAAAGGGGGGTTTTTTAGGGCAGAACCCCTAAAAGCTGCTCCCAACCCCAAATCTGCTGGCATTGAACAGGAAACAAACGAGTGTTGGGGTTTTTTTCACACCCCGTGGTCGAATTTGCAACCAAAAAAAAACCCCGAAAGGATCCCCCCCCTCAAAGCGACCCCAAATCTCCCCCACAATCTGAAGGGTTCACAAGTTGTGAGAGCCCAAAATCTCCACGGAAATGGAACTTCCTGGGTCGGGTGTTTGTTACAAAACCAAAGAACCTGTTTTGTTTTGTTTTGTTTTGTTTTTTTAAGACAAACCCCCCCAAAAGTTTGGAGAACTGGTTCAGAGCTACATCTGCTTTTTGTTTTTTCTCTCCTTTCCCAAAACGGTCACGTTGACAAAATGTCCAAATTCCAAAAAAAGAAGAAAGAAAAAAAAAAAAGAAAACAAACCAACCACATTTCTGCACCATAAAAAACCAGAAACTATGATACAAGTGAGGTAAAGGAAACGCCAAAAAATAGCCACCCACGAGATATTTTCAGGAAATACCAAAAAACACAGTGATTTTTTTTAATCCTTTTTCTTTAAAAAAAAAAAAAAAATCCAAAACAAAGCAAAAATAGGGAAAAAAAAAGCACAAAAACTCCCGAAATGAAACAGCAGAAATGGCCATTTTTTTTTCTTTTTTTTTTATATCTCGAGTGATCGCCTACGAAATTCCTAAAACCCACAAATCCACAGGGAAGTTTGTAATGGTCTCAATCCGACATTTATTCCAAAAAAAAAAAAAAAAAAAAAATAACCCCCTTTCCGTGTTTTCTCGTTCTGTGGTTCTGTGTTTTTTTTTTTTTTCCCCCTGGCTCCCTCAGATCTCCATCAGCTCCAGGTCGGCGTCCTCGAAGCCGTAGAACGACTCGGTCTCGCTCTCTCCCTCGAAGAGCTGCTGGAGGACCTCGGGGTCGGTGGATTCCTCGGGCTGGCTCCTGTCCCGGGGCTCGGGCGGCTCCTCGGGGGGCTCGTGGCCCAGCTTGAGCTGCTCCTCCAGCGAGGCGATGAGCTCCTCCTGCATGTCCCCGTTGCGCGCCGGCGAGTTGGCCGTGCCGTCGGGGCCGGGCAGGACGCTGGCCACCAGGAAGGATTGCTGCACCAGCTCCGGAGAGTCCCCGATCACCTCCAGCGCCTCGGCCAACCAGCACAAGACCAGCTGCAGGAGGATGTCCGAGTCGCACGTGGAGTCCGCCATCTCCTTGGCCTGCTCCTTCCACTTTTTGTGCAAGAAGTTTTTCACGGTCCTCTTGACGCAAACGTCCAGGGGCTGGATTTTGGAGCTGCAGCCGGCGGGCACCACGGCGGGCAGGGTGCTGGCGGAGCTGAGGGCGGCCAGCACCTCGTCGGAGAGGTGGCCGCGGTGGCAGTCCAGCACCAGCATGCCCTTGCCGCTCTGGCACGCCGCGTGCTCGCGCCACACGCGGGACGCCCACAGCTCCATCACCTCGTCGTCGCCGTAGCCGCCCTCCCGGGCCTCCAGCAGGATGGACTCGGGCACGTTGGCGGGCGGCTGCACGTGGCCCCTGTAGAACACCAGGGCGGGCAGGACGCTGCCGTCGGCCAGGATGGTGAGCACCACGTCGCACCAGGGCTCGCCGTTGCCCACGGTCTGCAGGGCGTTCTCCTTCCTGTCGTCGCTGCCCAGCACCTCCGCGTCCAGGAACAGCGAGATCTCGTCCACGGCGGCGATCATGGCCAGCGGCAGGTCCTGCGTGTGGATCTGGCGCTGCACGAACTCGATGAAGGAGCCGGCGCTGTCCTCCACGTCCTTGGGCAGCGGCTGCGCCACGGCCCGGCGCGTGTGGGTGCTCAGGTGGTGCCTCAGCATGAACCTCACGGCCCACTCGTAGGAGATCTTGAACCCCCCCTCCAGCGAGCGCCCGATCTTGGTGGCCTTCTGGAACAGGGTCTCCTCGTTGACGGGCAGCTGCTGCTCCCGCTGCGTCAGCACCCACTCCGCCAGCTTCTCCTCGGCCTCCAGGCTCAGGTACTTGCCCTCCAGGCTCTCGCCCTGGCAGGCCTGGACGCGGCGCAGCCAGCGGCGGATGCGGCGCGGGGGGTTTCGGAAGTGCTCGGCCGCCTGCTCGGTGTCGGAGCACAGGGCGAACAGAACCACCCGCAGCTTCTTCACCGACAGCTGCTCCTTCCTCAGGGACCCCTCCAGCGGCTCCCTGGGGGGCTGCTCGTCCTGCACAGCGCCCTCCTCCTCCTCCTCCTCCTCCTCCTCCTCCTCCTCCTCCTCCTCCTCCTTCTCCTCCTCCTCCTGCTGCTGCCGTCGCTCCAGGGGCCTGTCCGGGGCTGCCGAGGCGGGATCGGGCTCTGGGTCGCCTTGGGAAGGAGCCACGGGCTGGGGTTTCACAGCTTGGCTGGGGGAGCAGGGAGGGCAGGGGGGCTTCGGGCTCGTGTCCTGGGCTTGGAGGTGCCTGGCAGGGGAGAGAACGCAGGGAAATTCCTGGAAACTCGGGGGAAAAAGGGAGGAGGGGGGAAAAACCCCAACCCCAGGGGGGAAATGAGGGAGGGAGGAGGGGAAAGGGCAGTTCACGAAGGGTTTACCTGGAATGTGATATCCAAGTGGGCCCTGAAAGGAAAACAAAGCAGTTTGTAGAGCTCAGCAAACAAACACTGAAATCAATCAGTGCAGGTAAACACACTGAACCGGTGCAAATAAACACGAAATCGGTGCACATAAACACAAAATCAGTGCACATAAACACAAAATCAGTGCACATAAACACTCCAGAGGGGAGGACCAGTGTCTCCCTTACTCCCCACTTTCTCTAGGAATAGCAAAGATCCACCTTTTCCAAGCCCAGCCTCCACCCAAGGAGCAAAGACTTGGACCAGGCAGAGCCACATCTGTCAGGGATCCCTCGAGACAAAGCAAACCCAACAGCCCCAGGAAACCCCCAAAATCTGGTGGGGGAAAAGCTCAGGGTTTGGCACATCCCCCAAGGAATCTGGGAGCCGTTAATTCCCAGCTAGAGGGGCTGGAACAGCGTCCTCAGGGTTTGCTGGGGGGGAGCCTCAGGGTGTCACCTCCGGGTGTCACCGGGGACAATGATGTCCCTGAGGAGCAGAGGGAGTGGCTTTGTGAGCCCTTGGCATTGTGTGGGCCATGGGAAGATCCCAGGGATCCAGGCAGAGCCAGCCTGGCCCGGGGCTTAAACTGCCCATCTCCATGACAATAAAGGCTCATTCAGGTCCCACACAACCCATTCAACCCCACACAAAGCTCTGTTTGACCCC